TTTAATTTGGCTCAGTGTCTGGAGGTGGGGAAGGTTTTGATTGGACAGAGACATGAACATATTTACATCGACCGGAAGAAAACACACACTTCAGCTGCTGCCGGCTTTTCTGTCATCTCAGTTTGTCGTTACACCACGGACACAAACATGATCCAAACTTTTTCCACAGTGGTTCTGATGAATTGCGAAGCAGCAGCTGGAGAATCGTCTCATCACACTTTACGTCTGTGAGCTGAGGAGGAGAAGGGAAAAACTGAAAAACATGCATTCTGTCCACAGATTTGACTTGTAACGTCTGGTCACCTGTTTGTTTAATACTTTAAATAGGTGTTCCTTAAAGGTGCGCTGTGTAACTTTTCTTGTGGATGGTCCACCACCTCCTTGTTTCCATGACGATGTTAATGCTTTGTCTATAATGTGTCACAGTATTTCATTATGTGTCTATCTCCACTGAGACAAGCCCCTCCACCCTTTCTCCTCTCTCCTCTCTGCTGCTTTTTCCCTCCTCCCTTCCTCTCTCTCTCCTCCCTTTCACTCTCCTCTTTCTTTTTCCCTCCCCTCTCTCCTCCCTCCCTCTCTTTCTCACTCCTCCCTCCCTCTCCTCCCTTTCCTCTCTCTCCTCCCTTTCGCTCTCCTCTTTCTCTTTCCCTCCCCTCTCTCCTTCCTCCCTCCCTTCCTCTCCTCTCTCTCCTTTGTCTCCCTTCCTTGCTCTGTCCCTCTCCTCTCTCCCTCTCATCTCGCTCCTCCCTTCACCCCCTCCTCTCTCTCCTCCCTGTCTCTCTCTTCTCTCTCCCTCCTTCCTCTTGCTCCTCTCTTTTTCTCTCCTCTCCCTCTCTCTCCTCCCCTCTCTCTCCTCTCTCCCTCTCCTCCCTTTCATTCTCCTCTCTCTCTCTCCCTCCCTCCCCTCTTTTCTTCCTCCCTCCCTCTCCTCCCACTTCTCTCTCTCCTCCCTCCTCCCCCCTCTCCTCCCTCCCTTCCTCTCCTCTCTCTCCTCTCATCTCGCTCCTCCCTTCACCCCCTCCTCTCTCTCCTCCCTGTCTCTCTCCTCTCTCTCCCTCCTTCCTCTCGCTCCTCTCTCTCCTTTCTCTCTAGCTTCTCTCTCTCCTTCTCTCTCTCTCTCTCTCTCTCCTCTCTCCTCTCTCTCTCTCTCTCTCTCTCTCTCTCCCTTCTCTCTCCCTCCTTCTCTCTCTCTCTCTCTCTCTCTCTCTCTCTCTCCTCTCCTCTCTCTCTCTCCTCTCTCCTCTCTCTCTCTCTCCTCTCCTCCCTCCTCCCTCTCTCTCTCTCTCCTCCCTCTCCTTCCTCTCCTCTCTCTCCTCTCATCTCGCTCCTCCCTTCACCCCTTCCTCTCTCTCCTCCCTTTCTCTCTCCTCTCTCTCCCTCCTCCTCCTCCCTCCCTCCCTTCTTCTCCTCTCCTCTCCCTCCGTCCTGTTGTTTTGTGACCCTCGGCTGGCTGTGTGTGGGTTGTTGTGACAGCCTGTAGACTTTTCATTTAACTGAGCCCTTTAAGATCTGGATTTGAAGTGAAGATTGTCCCAAAGAAAAGATGGAGAGATTTGAATCTGAGGGTTCGACAGAGACACGGCGGCGTTTCCCACGGCGACCTCATGAGGGTCAGAGCAGCGCCAAAGCAAGAGCACGTTTTGTGAAATGATGTGAAATGAAACGCACGATGAAATTAAACTACTCACACAGAAGGATCCAGTTACTTTAGAGTTTAGATGACAGACGCGATCATTTCAAAGAGAATCAGAACTTGTATTCAGAGTGATTCATGCATGTTTGAGCAGTTGTTTATTTTTAAGACGCCGTTTTGCCGATCACCGCCAGCGTCACGTAGTCATTTTAGTTCAAATAAAAATGTCAGCTATGCATCCATCAGACCTCTTTGTTGTCTTTGTTTTCTAACGCGTCACTGGACTTGTTTCTTTTATTAAGTCGTTTTTGCGGAGGTGGGACCAAGACGTTGTTTTGCAAGTCTCTAGGGCTACGTTCAGACTGCAGCCCGAAGTGACCCAAATCCGATTTTTTGGCCCCTATGTGACCTGTATCTGATCTTTTAATGACAGTCTGAACGACACAGATACAGATTTTTTTCAAATGTGACCCAGGACACTTGGATATGTGCTCCTGAAACCGATACATATCTGATCTTTTTGACATGCGACTTCAGTCTGAACGGCCAAAGTGCATTCATCCACCTACACGTTATCAACAAGCCACAAACGTCACTATTCTGCGCTGAAGTAGGCGAAAATTGTTAATGAACTCTGTGTCACTGAAGTGAAGCACATCACCACTCACCACTCTTGGCTCCGTCTCCACATCCACACGTTCCTTTCATCAGACTGTGCTGCCACTGTCCCACAAAACACCCACGACCAAAAACCTCGTCCTTCTCCTTCTCAATCTCCTCCTTAAAACAAGTAAGTTGTTCATGTTCTGGCTCCGGTACGAGAGGAACTTTAAAATCTCCAGGTGCTCGATGCTGCGTCCATGTTTGGACAACTTCTGTAAACACAGAGCACGCTCACTGCGGTTGACGTCGTCGTGTCTCCAGTGCACATGTGGGACACTTTCGGGCCGTTTACTGTTCACACTGGAGTCACATACAAGTCACATTTAATTGGAAATGTGAACGACCTCGCAAAAACATCGGATTTCACAAAAAAATCCGAATTGAGCGTTAACCCCTGCAGTCTGAACGTAGCCATAGAGGCGAACCTGCTCACGGTTGATTTTAAACACATGCAGTTAAATCAGTCGAAGCTGAATGTGTTTAATGTCGTACTGTGAAACATTCCGTCAAAACAATAACATCTCTGGAGACAAGCAGGTGCCAGACGCTTCACCAGAAATGTTACAGAGCACACTTTTAAAACTACAAGACCAGACATTTTTCTTTTCTTGTTTATTTATTTCCAAAACTCCATCTGAATTGTTTATTCTAAAAAACTCTCTTTGGCAAAGGTTCATTCTGTTGCATTTATTTAGCTATTTTTAAACTATTTATGAAAAATTGTATTCCAAATTCCTTCAGACCTTCCCCACAGCGACAGCCCACACCCGCCTCTCTCTCTCTTTCTCCTTTTCGTCCTAATGGAGAAATGGGCGTCCAGCAGTCAGACACTCAAACTCAATCACACGTTCTTGAAGGTCTCTCTGACTTTTCCAAATGTGCCGTGGTCATTAATCATAGCGCCCCCTCTGGTGAGCGGGGGCAGTGTTTGCATTGCTGGAGGACAGTGTCACGTCGTATGAAATGATCGACTCGTTCATATCAGGGCTGAGGGATGGGCAGCCATATTGGATCTGACAGGAGGAGTTGATCTCCGCCTCACCGACAGGAGCGATGAAGACAGACTCATGATGTTTACCTTTGTGGATATTTATAACAACTACTACATTTAAGCAAGTGAGAATATGTGACAAAATAAGCTAATTGTTACGCAAAGTTGGCTGGGCGGTCTGACTGCAATATTAAACTTTTCAGAGATAGATTCGCTGAAGAGCCATAGGGTAAGTGAATGAAGAGCAGACACACTTTAAAGTTGATAATACGATAAATTGTATTATATTTTTAGGTTAGCAATAATAATAATAACAATATAATATAAGCTTATTTATACTTTTGGATATATATATGTATTATAACATATGACATAATAACCAGAGCAAAACAAACAAACAACTTCAGTTAATTTGAGAGTCCCGGGAGATCGTATATTGTCTTTTCTTTGGGGGGTTTAGTCCACGAGTCGTATTGACTGAGATTCAAAGTTCTTAAGAGTCTTTCTTGAAGTTCAGATCCAGTAAGACAGAGGAAAAAATATATATGTAGTTCGATCTCCTACCACAAGGTGAGGTATAGGCGAGTTTCATTGTTGACAAAAGCGCGCGTTTCATGCTGGGAATTATTTTGGTCGGCGGCAATAAACACTAATTCAACATGACGGAAGGAGCGAGAAAGCACGTAAAGGGTATTGATCCCGGTTATTTATCCACTCTAACGGCAGAGGACCCAAGACCATTTGACCAGAAATTGGTCATAAGCATCGATGGACGACAAATCACCCTTTTCAACCCCGACAAAGCCTGGACCAAACCAAATTTCTGGTCGGAATCGCCAACTACCTGGACAAATATTCACTTGGGTGATATCCACAATGACTTGGTGGAAACTCCTGGGCCATTCACAGCAGAAAAGATGAAAACCTCCAAGAGTCTCGATGTGTTGTTGAACTTGTTGGAGTCCACGGTTTGTTAGGATCTTCTACGTTTGCTCTGCGAATGTTTGAAAGCCGTTTAATTCACCGTTAGCGGTTCTTTTCACTCAGAATATGAAAAAGACATTTTCCTTCTTCCGTGCTTCTATTTGTGCATCCGATAATGCAGCAGGAATTTACCATTATCAGGGATAAATACACGAGGTTACACACTGTGTTTGACCGCTACCGTGTTTCTTGCCTCCGGCCAAAATATTTCCCAGCATGCAACACGGGCTTTTAATAACAATGACGTCAGCTGAAACTCGCCTATTCAGTCAGAGTTCTCCATCACAGACTCACGGCTGAAGTGCTGAAGTTGAGTTGTTGTCACAAAGGTTGGTAAAAAAAAAACTGACCTGCACAAGGTCAAAAAGGAAAAACAAATTACATTCAGGTTTATAATAAAGATGGTATTTGTGTGTTTTGGTTCAACTGTGACAAATGAGATACTAAAATGTCATGTAAAGGAAGAATTTTATTGCTAAAACTATATTGAAAAATATGCATTCATATAATGGTTGCCTCTCCACAGATCTGACCTGTAGCTTGGGCTGGTGCCACCACTTACTTTTCTCCATAAAAATAGATACATTTGACGCCAATCCAGCCACGACAATCATCCCCATGGCAAACCCTCCAGAAAAGTCACATAGTGCACCTTTAACCTCAGTGGTACAGAAGAAAGGGTCAAATGCAAAGAGACTTAAACATGCCCATGTGCCTCTGTGTTTGCAGAAGGAGACGAGAATAAGGACTTCTACATCCAGAGGAACACTGGGACTCTGTCTGTGGCTCAGAGACTCGACGCAGCTCGAAAATCCAACTACCAGGACCTGAACAGGTGAGTACGAACCAGGTGACGGTACGGGAACCAGGACTGACTCTGAACCAGGACTCTGCCAATGTACAGGTACGAACCAGGACTCTGCCAAAAAACCAGGACTGTGCCACTGTACAGGTACGAACCAGGACTAGAAGCCAGGCCTGTCCAACTACAGCCTGACTAGTGTACAGATTTAAACAGCACATTCTCAGGAGCCTGTAATCAGTCCGAACGTTCGTGGTCCTGTTCAGGAGTTTGATTTTCAACAAAAAGGTGAGCTTGACTAATTGAAAACTGTTGAGTAATGCCAGCTTATTAACAGCACAAATCGGCTCGTCTGTTTTAGTTCCAGCTAAATCAGTTCGTTCTGGTCAGATTGTGTGAAAACAAAGCTCAGTTTAACGTCTTAACTTGAGTCACCGAGCTTCAGACCGAGCAGAAAACGTCTCGATACGATTTTGGTGTCAAAGCCTGATTATCCAATTTAGCGAGTGAACGTGGGACTCGACGAGAGACGGATAAAAGCCACAATGGAAGCGTGTGAGTGGAGGAGAGTGTTTGTAGAGCGGGAGAGAGTGATGCTGGAGTTTAAAGCACACGTCAGGTCTGTGATCAAAGCCCCATTTATGACGCACAAAGTCGTGTTGAACTTGGAGCGTGTGAAGTGTTCGTCTCATGTTCCCGTTGTTAGAAGTCAGCGCAGCTCTCACCAGAAGAACCTCCTCCATCTTTAATGTTTAACCTCTCTCTTCTCTCCTCTCTTTCTTTCTTCTCTTTCCTTCTCTCCTCTTCTATCTCTCTCTCATGTCGCTCTTCTTTGTATACCTCCCATCTCCCTCTCTCCTCTCTTCTTTCTCCTTCCCTCTTCCTCTTTCTCATCACTCTCTCCCCTCTCGCTTTCTTCTCCACTTCCGCACTCCCTCTCTTCCTCTCTCTCTCTCTCTTCCTCTCTTTCGCTCCTTCTCTCGTACCCGCTTTCTCTCCCTCTCGTTTTCTCTTTCCCATCCCCTCTCACCCTCCCTCCCTCTCTTTCTCTCTCCCTCACCCATTGTCTTCCTTTCTCTTTCTCTCTTTCCCCACCCTCTCTCCCTCATCCTCTCTCTCTCCCCCTCTTTCTCTCTCCCTCTCCTCCTCTCTCTCTCTCTCTCTCTTTCTCTCTCCCTCACCCATTGTCTTCCTTTCTCTTTCTCTCTTTCCCCACCCTCTCTCCCTCATCCTCTCTCTCTCTCCCTCTCTCTTCTCTCTCTCCCTCTCCTCCTCTCTCTCTCTCTCTCTTCTCTCTCTTCCCAATCTTTTTCCTTCTCTTTCTCCTTCTTTCTCTCTCTCACCATCCCTCTCTTTCTCCTTCCCTCACCCTGTCTCTCTACCGACCCCCCCCACCCACCCTTATCTCTCCCCCCTTCTCTTGCTTCTCTCTCTCCTCTCTGTCTTTCTCTCTCCCTTTCTCCTTCCCTCTCTCTCTCCCTCCCTCTCTCTCTCCTCCTCTCTCCCCTCTCTCTCCCCATGCTTTTCCCTTCTCCTTTCTTTTTCTTCTCTCTCTCCTCTTTCTCCTCTCTCTCTCCTCCTCCCTTTCTCCTCCTCTCCCTCCCTCCCTCCTCCTCTCTTTCTCTCTCTCCTCCTCTCTCCTTCTCTCCCCCTCTCTCTCCCCATGGCTTTTCCCTTCTCGCTCTCTTTTTCTCTTCTCTCTCTCCTTCTTTCTCACTCTCTCTCTCCATCCCTCTCTTTCTCCTTCTCTCACCCTCTCTCTCTCTTTCTTCTCTCTCTCCCTCTCTATCTCTCTCTCCTCCTCTCTTTTTTCCCTTCCTCCCTCTTTCTCTCTCTCTCCCTCCCTCCCTATTTCACTCTCCCCTCCTCTCTCCCTTTCTCCCTCCCGCTTTCTCTCTTTCTCCTTTCCTCCCCCCTACTTTCTCTCTCTCCTCTTCTCTCTCTTTCTCCCCCCCTCTTTCTCTCTCTCCTCCTTTCTCTCTTCCCCCCCTTCTCTCTCTCCCTCCCCCTTTCTCTCTCTCCTCCTCTTTCTCTCTTTCTCCCTCCCTCTCTCCTCTCCTCCCTCCCTCTCTCCCTCCGTCTCTCTCTGTCTCTGTGTCTTCCACAGGCGTACATCCGGGTGTTGGACATCAACGAGCACAGGCCGGTCTTCCTCAAGTCTCTGTATGAGGTGAGAAGAACAGTGAGATTTACACTCAGAGATAATGAAGAGGTGAAAAGAGCAGCTCTGTTGTATCCAAACCTAAAATGTGGGAAGAAGAGAAGAAACTTTCAGCAGAGTTTTAGTCAGTCACAAAAACCAATTAACACGCAACAGCAACAGCTATAAACGATCAAGTTCACGACTAAACCCTTTTCACTGACAGTATCTTGTTGGTTTTACTGATCAAATGTTGTTTTTTTTGCTGCTGAAAAACTATACACCACCAACTAGAGACGTGACAGGAGCTGAAATAGTGAAGGTAACAGACAGGTAACAGAGGGCCCGGTCAAACAGAGGCCGAAAATTCAAGTTAATGCATCTGATATAAAAATGTATTGAACAGATACATATGTACTCTAGTTTATGAAACTGTTGACCTTTTTTCTGTACCATTTTTGGTTCTAAAGTTCCATATGTTTTAAACAGACCATGTATGAAACATGGAACAAAAATTATTTCCCAAATTTCAAAGACCTGCAAATCATGTCAATAAATGGATGTATTTCATCATATCTTGTGTTATTCCATCTTTGAACTGTTCATGAAGGTACAGGATTTAAAAAAAAAAAAAGTATTTAAAATGATAAAAATTTGCTTGGAAGGACTGACATATTTTATAGAAATAGTTTCCTTTCATTTTGAAGTAATATTAAAGTATTCAGAAGAAAAAAAGCGACAAATTATGCAAAATCATGCACCTTTCCTTTTGCCTTTTCCCTCCGTTACTTTTCCCCTCCGTTACCATGAACCTTCTTTTAATAAAAAATCTCATGACTCAAAAAGTAAGAGGTTTTTCAACCTAATCTTGTACCATATGGTAGAAAACTATATGAAGCAAATATTCAAACCAGTTTGTTAAGGATATGGAAGTGAGAACCAAGAGTTATCACTGTTTGGATTTTTGCCCAAAAAGTGCTGCATATTTCATTCCCTCTGTTACCGACATGAGTTTAAAATTTTTTGTCAACAACTTGAAAGAATATCACAGGTTTAACTTGACCCTGTTGGAGTGTAACTCTTTCCTACATTCTGATACTTTACTTATTTCAATAGTGCCTCTAGTTTCTGAATAAGAGACATTTGAATGTAAAAAATCTGCCCCTGTTTCCCTCCGTTACCACTTGACCGTATTCCAGAGTCAAACTTTCTTTACTCACGCTTACGTCACAAACCAGGACGGCGTTTTCAAATATGACATGACAATTTCCGATGTAGTTCCCGACACTGGGCTCGACGACCGACTGTGATCAAACCCACTGAAGTCAATCATGTTGAATTCGGCGCCTCGTCTCTTCTAATCGCATGTTCCCGGCGCGTTTGGAGTTGTGTGTCAGTGGGGAAATGATGAAAACTGAGGTATGGTTGGAATTAGGGATGGGCATTCGATTAAATTTTCTTAATTGATCGTCGGGAGAATTAACGATCGATTAATTATTCATGTTTTTTTATATTAAAATGATCATCATCATTATTACTATCTGCACTACTAATCTGCATAAATAAATTCAACTTTATGACATATAAACTGTAAAACCTCTAGAGCCACATCAGCCCGTTTTAGATTATAGTGTTTAATGCATCTTTGCACAAGTTTCACAGAAACAAAACTTAAAACCGCATGGTTAATTTGCATAAACTAAGCGAAGAAAAAAAACAGCTCTTGTGCGCTGATGCAACATGACTCAGTGGAAATACAGGTTAGTGTGACCATATTTGCATTTGTCAAAACCAGGACACCGTACGGGGGGAGGGAGGTGGGGACTTGTCATCGACATTGAGCGACTCTCACCTGGCAAAGCTTTTTCATGTTTTTGGTGTCCTGGAGAACTTTTTCTCATTGGACACCGAAAACATGTGTTTGCTTTGTTCACTGTGCACGTGGCCTCACACTTGTCCCGACCGGAAAGGAAAGCGTGGAATTTCTTGAACAAATCATCGTTAAATACACATTTTGTGCTTCGGCACTTTGCAGACTGACCGACTGTTTGTGTCTCGCTCCTTCTGAGTGCAGAGACACATGTACAGACCCTGTTTGGTCACGCTACGCACAGCAACCTACATTTGGTTTGTCGATTAAAGTGAACGTAATCGATTAAATTCTTAATGATCAATTATCGATTAATCGACTAATCATGCCCATCCCTAGTTGGAATTGTTGATTATCCGAACACGTGGTTTATGCAGCGGTTCTTGAAGGCTTTTTCAAACTGTCGCTTCCTCGCAATTCGCACAGAGTTTGTTGCGATGGCGGACGAGAATCCACGACCAGTTCGCCGCAAAAGAAAGTCCGTTTTTGAGTTCGCTGAAAGGAGAAGAGAAGGGGAAAAGCAGCGAAGACAAACTGAGGTGATTCGAAGGGTCTAAAAACGCGTCGGTCGCTAAATTATTTCTCGACAGGTCACTTCAACAGTAATTCTGAATGTGCACTGGATGTAAACAAGCTTGATTTCTAGAGTAAAGAGGCGGGAGGAGGTGTTTCTATTGAGGGAGCTGTGGAGGAGGAAGGTGTTGTCACTCTCATGCACAACATTTGAAAAAGGACTGTCGCTGTATTTCACTTCCCTTAAAAAATCCTCTATACAACCTTTAAACATTTCTATCTTCACAAGAGACCAAACCAGACCAAGTTACAGGTCAGATCTGTGGAGAGGTGACCCCGACCTCTCCCCCTTCCCAGCCGAAAAGTTACACAGTGCACCTTTAATAATAATAATAAGTGACAAAACAACAGTTAAAATTCACCCAGAGACTTTGAGGTGTCTTAAAAACTTTGACTTTCATTTTTGCAAATCTGATGCGACGCAACATCGGCCTCCTCCAATAATGAGAGGCTTATGTCTGTCTTCAAAACAAACAAAAGGAAATCCGTTTAAAAAGCTGCGCCGGTCTAAAATGAATTCTCAAATTTTTTAAAACAATTCTATCTTATTTCCATTCTCGGAGATTGCAGATTAAAAGTCTCCATGTCTGCACAAATATATGATAGAACTGAGGTCAAAGTAAGCCTGTCATTTACTGCGCGCTGTTGTCCAAGAATCAGGAAGTGCGTGATTAGCATGCTAGTCGTTGCAGCAGAACTCTGAAAGTCGTGAAAAGGGCTTCTGAACTCATCGTGGCGAACAGTGTGGGGAAGGTGACTTTTAAAATGTATTCCCCTACAGATTACAGATTACATACCCCAAAATGTAGTTTGTAACAGAATCCATTAAATTACTTAAAGTGAGTAATGTAATCTGAATACTTTGGATTACTTGATTTGCTGTAGAGAAGCAAAGACGAGGAAATCTTCACCAGACTTCCAGACTTTATTGAACCATATTAAAAAATATTATTGATAGAAGAGGAGGAGACATGTCCACACGGCATGGTTTAGTCCTGGTTTAGTTCTGGTTTAGTTCTGGTTTAGATCTAGTTTAGATCTGGTTTAGTACTGGTTTAGTTCTGGTTTAGATCTAGTTTAGATCTGGTTTAGTCCTGGTTTAGATCTAGTTTAGATCTGGTTTAGTCCTGGTTTAGATCTAGTTTAGATCTGGTTTAGTCCTGGTTTAGATCTAGTTTAGATCTGGTTTAGTCCTGGTTTTAGATCTGGTTTAGTCCTAGTTTAGAGTTTCTCCTGGTTTAGATCTAGTCTAGTTTAGATCTGGTTTAGTCCTGGTTTAGATCTGAGTCTTAGTTTAGTTAGATCTGGTTTAGTCCTGGTTTAGATCTAGTTTAGATCTGGTTTAGTCCTGGTTTAGATCTAGTTTAGACCTGGTTTTAGTCCTGGTTTAGATCTAGTTTAGATCTAGTTTAGATCTGGTTTAGTCCTGGTTTAGATCTAGTTTTATCTAGTTTAGATCTGTTTAGTCCTGGTTTAGATCTAGTTTAGTCCTGGTTTGATCTAGTTTAGAAGTCCTGGTTTAGATCTAGTTTAGATCTAGTTTAGACTGGTTTAGATCTAGTTTAGATCTAGTTTAGATTTGGTTTAGTCCTGGTTTAGTTTCCGGCAATGAGTGGAATTACAAAAAAAAAAAAAAAAAAGGGGGGGGGGGGGATTTAGCCCAAAATGTGAAAACAGGAAAATACGGCCGTGTAATCCATTTATTTCAACAAAGTAACTGTAATCCAATTACCACTCACTGAAACAGTAACTGTAACTGAATATAGTTACTCATAATTGATTGACATAGTCATTAATTACGTCACTCTGGTACATGTAATCTGTTACTTCCCAACCCTGGCGGTGAATCACGTGGATGCTTAAGTTTGCCGTGTTGAAGTCACGTAAGGTTTTCACTCAAACCTCCTCAGGCCGAGCAGAATGTAGGTCATTTTGTTGTCAATTTGCAGCCGATGTTGTTGCTGTAATCATTTCTATAAACACTAACCTCTGCCCCCCGGCCGCGCTATCTGTGCCATTACATTCAGCTCCACACAAGACCGGAAATAAAATATGGAGTAATTATGTCAAAGTCAACACAGCAACAACAACAACCCCACTGCAAATGGAAATAGCCTACATTTTCTGTCAACTTTGGTATAAATATTGTTTATAATCCAGAACCATTTTGAATAGTTTGGCCCCAAAGAAACTCTACTTCACTACACATGAAGTAAAAGTACAATATGTTTTTATCATTTAAACTACCAGCCTCAGACATTATAACCAGTGTTGGGGAGTAACAGATTACATGTACCGGAGTTACGTAATCAGAGTACAAATTATGAGTAACTGTATTCAGTTACAGTTACTGTTTCAGTGAGTGGTAATTAGATTACAGTTACTTTGTTGAAATAAATGGATTACACAGCGGGATTTTCCTGTTTTCACATTTCGGGCTGAACCAGGTCTAAACTAGATCTAAACCAGATCTAAATCAGGTCTTAAATCAGGTCTAAAACCAGGTCTAAACCAGGACTAAACCAGGTCTAAACTAGATCTAAACTAGATCTAAACCAGGTCTAAAACCAGGTCTAAACCAGGACTAAACAAAGACTAAAACCAGGTCTAAACCAGGTCTAAAACTAAAACCAGGTCTAAATCAGGACTAAACCAGGACTAAACCAGGACTAAACCAGGTCTAAACCAGGACTAAACCAGGTCTAAAACCAGGTTTAAACAAGATCATAATTTCTTTGTACATTAGAAGAGTTTTGTGATGTCATGATTTCAAACCAGGAAGTCACATTTGAACAACTTTTTAAAAATTCACATATATATATATATATATATATATATATATATATATATATATATATATATATATATATATATATACCTTAAATGTAACTATTTCAACTGTGCTTTAGTAAAATGAGTCATTCACCCATTCATAGGGATTTTAAAACATGAAACAGGGCTGAAGAGAGGAAGAGACTTTCTGTTTCGATCACTCTCTTACCACACACACGTCACATTTGAACATCATCTTTTCCTTATTTCCTTGTCGTTCTCAGGTCCGGGTTCCAGAGGACACATCCCCCTGGAAAGACCTGCTTCAGATCGGAGCAGAGGACGCAGACAGGAACAGTAACCTGCTGTTCTCCATCCACAGCAGTCTGCCCCGGGGCAGCTCTGACCTCTTCCACCTCGACCCAAAGTCAGGGATCCTGGTCCTGACTGAGAACCTGGACTATGAGAAGACTTCCACCCACACTCTCATCATCATGGTGAATATAAGCTACACTGACCACCAAAACTCTTTCTCGAGCTGCAATCACAATCAAATCAGTGTCACGGTGTGGATGGACGCACTCTGCAAATCCCAAAGGAGCAATTTAAGTTCAGTAATTACCTCCACAAAGGTTCTGATTCTGCATAAAAACGTCGAACCCTGGAGTTTAGACAAAGGATGGGCATTTGATTAAATTTTCTTAATCGATCGTCAGGAGAATTAACGATCGATTATCGAACCTAATAATCATTAATGTTTTTTATATTAAAATTATCATCATTATTATTACCATGTGCACTATTAATCTGCATAAATAAATTCAACTTTACGACATATAAACCGTAACCACTCTAGAGCCACATCAGCCCGTTTGACATTATAATGTGTTTAATGCAGATTTGTGCAAGTCTCACAGAAACAAAACTAAAAACCTCATGGCTAATTTGCATAAATTAAGCAAAGAAAAAAAACAGCTCCTTTGCGCTGATGCGACACGACTCAGTGGAATACAGGTTAGTGTGACCAGATTTGCGTTTGTCAAAACCAGGACACCGTACGGGGGGAGGGAGGTGGGGACTCGTCATCGACATTGAGCGACTCTCAACTGGCAAAACTTTTTTCCACTGGACACTGAAACATATGTGCTGCTTTATACACTGTGCACATGGACTCACACTTGTCCCGAACACAACGGAAAGTGTGGAATTTCTTGTACAAGTCATCGTTAAATACACATTTGTGCTTCGGTACGTTGCAGACTGACCCACTGTTTGTGACTCGCTCCTTCTGAGTTGCAGAGAGACACATGTACACACCTGTTTGGTCACACTACACACAGCAACCTACATTCGATTTGTCGATGAAATTCTTAATGATCAATTATCGATTAATCGACTAATCATGCCCATCCCTAGTTTAGACGTGTACAAACCTGCTCTGAAATGGGATTCTTGTGATTCTTTTTTTTGTTAATTATTCTGAACGTGTTTAAAATGTGAACTTTGAATAGAATCCTATTTTTTATTTTGAATAATTTAGATTTTTTAATTAATTAATTATTATTTTGTTTCATTTTTATTTATGTTTTTTAAATATTTTCTTTTTTTATTTTGATTGCATGCATGCATTTGTTTCCTCATGAGATGGGCATTATTGTGTATTAAAAATAAAACCTGCCAAGTTCATTTCCACACTGTGACATCAGGAAAGTTCTATTTTTGTCCTGGGTTGCAGATTGTGAAATATCAGCACCGTTGCCATGGTAATTAACTAATCAAAACAAAATGTTATAATTTTTCAATGGGTAAAAGTGCTCAATAGACACATCAATGAAATCATCTGTGATCTTCCTGAAGTCATCGGCAATTTGACATGAAAACTTGGGAAGGATTTTCAGAAAAGAGTGAAGCATCAAAATCCTCCCATCCATCTTCACCTTCACTGTTTTCAATTCCGTAGGGAAGAGAAACAGTTTGAACAGAGGTTTGCAGTCACACACATCTGATTCCCTTTTGCATTTATGGAGTTTGCAAACAAATTTCTCGAGTCGTTTTCTGCTGTTAGGATCCAACAACCACACAATGACGATGTCCGAATCCCAAAACTAAAATATGACAATATCAGAACCAGAAACAAAAGTGATATGGTTCAAAAGACTTGAAAAGATCGACTTTGTCAATAGACGCATCCAATTGTAAAATCAAACATGGAGGTTTGATGCTCACTTTTTCGGAGAATCCTTCCCAGTATGAATTGCGCGATGACCGGAAGTCCGAGATTCTTGATGTGTCAATAGAGCACTTGTTTGTGGGTTGCAGCTTTTTGTAACAGGCAACATTTCAAGGACGTTTCACTCATCACAAGATATATTCTGTTTTAAATTGTTAATTACTTATGTCTTAATTTTCCCACATTCTGAAACCTATGGATAAACAGATAAACTAAAACCCATTAATACTTACAACAACAAAAAAATTTGTAAACTTTTCTTACTCTATGCTCCAGTAAAACTAACTTGTCTTGTTCAGGTGCGAGACCAGGAGATCCCGATCAAGAGGAACTTCGTGAAGGCAGTGGTTCACGTGGAGGACTGTAATGACCACGCCCCTGTTTTCCTGAGTCCCCGATATGAGGTGTCCCTGTCCAATATGGCGGCGGTGGGGTCTGAGGTGCTCCGTGTCACTGCTCTGGACAAAGACACAGGAAGCAACGCAGAGATCAGCTACTCCCTACACTCTGGTACGTCCTGTCCGCTCACAAATACTACACCAGAGAAATACAAGAGACAAGAGCTCACAGCCAGTGATTCAAAGGTCTTATGTTACGCAAAGTGGACTCCCGTGAGCTTTAAGAATCCAGTTTTCTTCATTATTTGTGTCCAAAACCAAAATGAAAAAAACAAATAAAGGTTCATTTTTTCAGTTTTCGATTTTGTGTTTAAATGAAAAATGGAAAAAAAAAAAAACAGATAATGACCGTTTCCTGTTTACGTGACTTAAACTGCGATGCCGGACTGAACCAGGACTTATCCAGGTCCGGGACCAGAGCAGGACTGAGACCGGGACCAGACCGAGACTGAGACCAGAACTGAGACCGGGACCAAAGCGGGACTAAGACTGAGATCAGAACTGAGACCAGACCGGGACCAGAGCAGGACTGAGACCGAGACCAGACCAGGACCAGGCCAGGACCAGACGGGACCAGACCGGGACCAGACCGGAGGCTCACAGCCCACGGCAGGGCCGAAGCTCGAAGCTGAGGCTCAGAGTAAAAGCTCGGAGTTTGCTCTGGGCCCATTCTGGTCCCGGTGTGGTCCCGGACCTGGTTCAGTCCTGGTTCAGTTCATATTCGGCTCAAAAGTCCGGCATCGCAGTCATGGAAGTCACATAAACGGGAAACAGCCGTTATCTGTTTTTTCCTTTCTTCATTTGAACACAAAATGAAAAACTGAAAAAAATAAATCTTTATCTGTTTTTTTATTTTGGTTTCGGAGACAAATAATGAAGAAAACTGTTGTTGAAAAACGAAATGAACGAAAGATACACGGATTTTTAAGACATGTTATAATGTTGTTACCTCCTCAAAACAGATCTGGAGTTGTGTTTTGTTTCATTCACACGTAAGTCTTTATTATTAGTCTACATCTCCAAAGCTCAAGATGCTCTGTTCCACTTTGTGATGTCATGAAGCGGTAGTTTTCAAGTGAACAGATTACCTTTCGTTTAGTAAATTTAGATTTAGATTGGCAATTCCGGGGCTGAAATCATGCAAATTATAGTAGTGAAAGAGCATAAAGTTAAAAAGCACCTTTATTACCACATGACATCACAAAGTGGAACAGAATTTGTGAGAAGAACTCAGCCGAAATGTGCAGGGTTTGTGAGTTAAATGTGTGAATGAAACAAAACACAACTCCAGGTCTGACTGTGATGAGGAAACTATTAGAACATAGATCAGAAAAGAGGGCAGTACCCAATAAAAAAATAAAAAAAAGTTAAAATTAAATTATTTACTGTGGTCCAAAGTTCTTCCTCACTTACATTATGCATTCTGAGCATCCTAATTATTCACCACGATGAGTTTATAAGCACTTTTCATGACCGGTAATGCTAATAACAACTAGTATGTTAACCACTCACTTCCTGAACGTGTTATAATCAGACAGCTCACAGTGGACTGGCTTTGACCTCGAGAGCTGCTTATACAGTACATCTGTACAGGGGTGAGACCAGATACATGGGGGAAATGCAGCACTTTTAATGACCAGAGAGCCACAGGGAGGAGCTGACAAGACAAAAGAACTCACAGGAAACGCAAAATCAGGATTTTTACACCAAAACTGCAACTTTCCCAAATGATCTGGCCGTATGGGGAAGCAGTGACATAGATCGGTTTGTGGACTGTCTCGTGTAGCATTTTCAACTGGACACTGGTTTGTTTTTCTTCAGTATTTCTTCATTTATCTCGTCGTTCTTTACTGGGAGATTCTAAGCAGCAACAAACACACTAGTTGCAATCTGTCCAAATGCTTTATTATACATTAGTCTGATTTGGTTCCTAAGAGTGGGTTTTAGTCCAATGAGACTGACCCTCTCTCTCTGCTGTTATCTGCTACTATTACTATCAATAACTAGTATACTAACAGCACACTTCTTGATTATTGGACAAAAAATGCTTCATAATTACATGGAGACAGTACAGACTCATTTTGACCTCAGGAGCAGCTTATATAAACCCGCAGTAAAAAAAAAAAAAAAAAAGTCCAGCCTTCGATTATTTGGGACTGAGGGCCATTGAAAACTGGTTTGAGAGCAGGATTTGGTCCCTGGGCCATAGTTTGGAAATGCCTGTTCTTGACTGGGAATCGCAGGGTCCGTCACGATTCAATACAATAAACGATACGTGGCTCATGATACGATATAATCACAAAATGGTGATACATGCGATATGATACACACATGATACTATGAGATATATAACTGTTTTTTAAGACCAAATACATTTTAACAGCAGTATTTCTTTGTTAAGCCACTATCTGTGCTAAGTTAATAAGAAATACATCTATTTGAATCATCAAAACTGTGAATATGTCAAGCGTATCGCATAAACAAGTTTCCTTCCACTAAATAAGCAGCGGAGCTTGCACCACAAACAGAGGAGCGCACGCCACGACATCGGTCCCACCGCACAATAAATACTTGATGCTGCTGGACAGACCCTCACCGCCAATGTGATATTGGCGGTGAGAGTCTGTCAAACAAAACAGCACCGTGCGACGACGCCATCGGCTGCACAGGTGTGAACACGGGCCACAGAACCACAGGTAACAGCTCCCGAACACGGCACGGCCCAAAAGTCCCAGCGCGAGTGCACCTCTAGTACAGCAGACACTGGGACACACAGTCGCACGCTGACTGGAGCAAATCCCACGCCTCAGAAAAGCGGTTGTGTCCTGTGTGTCCTGTGTGTTATATACGTATATTATTTATCCGATACCTGATTGGAACATAACGTCCGAGTCCGGATCGAGTCCACAGTCACGTGATCGGAAATCGGTGGCGATCGGGACAACCCTACCCGTTAGCGGTGTATTACATACGACATGACCAAATAGCAGCGATTGGTTACATTAAAAAAAGTACGCGCCTACAGTCGAGCGAACGAATTCAGTTACAGCACCTCACAACCTCAATGATACACACTAAAATGTTTAATACAGGGTTTATATTAAAGGTGCATTTTTGTATGATGAAATAAAGCTTTGCGCTCTACAACATAATAAATCTGTTTTTCACCACCTTATAAACCCATACCAAAGTTTAGCACGTAATATTTGAGCCTTTGTAGCCTTGTATTTGTGTAGTAATACACTGAATACATGTTGTTTCTTATCAGCAGTACACATGAGCCTGCACACGCCCCTCCTCCTCCTCCTCACACATCACACTGTACCAAGAAAGATCTATTTCTCAACACCGCCTGGTTATTTTTCAGAGTATTACCTAATAAATAATGTATCTATCTAACGCATTGGTAGTTTTCCGCACGTTTTAATCCTAAAGGTTATGCTGCGGAGGGCTTTAAGATGGATGCTCGCCGGTCTGAAAATGCACTGAGCAAGCGTAATGTTTTAGCTGTGCAGTGGCCCGGGTCTGTTTCTTTCTGCTTCTTTGATCACATGTGTTCAACGCTACATCTCCAAACAGCAGCGGAATATAGATCAGGTTTGTTAAGGTCAGGATGTACCCGTGTAAGGCGAAATACGTGAGGACAAAACCAGAAGAGGACCAAGGAGAGACCAAAGGCAAAAGATTAAAGACTTTTTTTTATGATGTAGAAAAGTTCTGGTTAGAGATGCAGGATTAATCACAGTTTCAATGGGTGTAATTAGCAAATCGCAAAGGCTGCAATCTTTTAAGTACCATAATCGAACTAAATATCTTGTCTTATTCTGTGTTAAAAACTGCTAACCCCGTAGTTTAGATCTGTTCTGTTCTGAAAAGTGATTTTTGTGTTAGTTCGTCAATTCATATTTAAAACGGACCTATTCTGCAAAATCAACTTTTCAGAAATTTTAACCATGAAGTTGTACTTGGAGTAATTCGTGCATGTTTAAGTAATCTGTAATTACTTATCATTACAAGTCATTTTGCAGATCAACTCACGGTTTACGCCCATATTTTTTAAAAATCTGCTCCTTGCTCCTGTGATCTTCAGCTGTCAATAAGAGGTGCTGACCCTTTGTTGTGATGATGTTTACTTTGACGTCCGCTTCCATTGGGCACTACCGTTCTCTAACCTGGAAGTCAGTGCACTTGTTTCTTTTCGTTTTAGATGAATATTGTGATTTAAAATGATAACAAATCATAACATGAGACGTTATAAAGCGCTTTTCATACAAAAACGTAACACAAAGTCTTTACACACATTCCACTCGCACACAACTATAACACATGTGCAATGGGTCTTCTTTAAAGGACCTGTATTTTCCATGTATCTGAGTCTTGCCCCAGTACAGATATACAGTATTGTACTAACAGTTCTTGACATCAAAAGTGCGGTGTGTGCTGTAGGCATCAAATTGTAAAGCATTTTTTTGTCCAGTTATCAGGAAGTGTGTGGTTAGTATGCCAAGTTTAGTTGCTTTACATCTCTGGTCTGTGAGAGTTGTGAAAAGTGCTTTTAAAGTTCACAGTGAATAATTAGAATGTTCAGAAGGCATAAGGTCAGCGAAGAAGAACAGATTTAAACATATTTTAGATATTTGGCCTTTTAGCGTTTGTTAAAAAGTGACAACAAAAATGAAAAATACAGTTTTGATGCACAGTCAAACCGCCCCAAAATGGACACGCTTGTATTATGTTGTTAAAGTCGACATTCATCACCTGTGAAAACAGACCAGCAAAATACATAAAATACAATATAATTACAGATTGTCAACTTTTAATTAGAAGTTTGAGGTCTTTAAAAAGAACTGGCAAACCTTGAAAAGGTGAGTCTAATTGAATAAACACTTTTGAAATGTGATTAAACTTTTGAATGAAGCATTCTTCAGTCATTCTTCTGCCAAAAAGTTGGTTGCAAAGTTCAGCACTTCTTTTACTTTTTTTTCCCCCAAAAAAACAATGAGCTTTTCTTGAAGCACAATTTCTGCTGTTTTGTTAACTGAAATTTAGTTAATTAAATTATTTTGTGAATTGAATTCTTACTTTTAGAAAACTCTTCATAAGTTTCAACTAATTTATCATAATTCTGAAACCTGGCTTGGAAACGGTCTTCCTGTTTGTGTAATGACTGCTGTAAAAATCCAAAATAAACTTGGGCTAATATTTTACCAATAATTAAAATATTTACATTTATTTACAAAAAAAAGTCAATTTTGAATAATAACCCTCTTTAAAGGTGCACTTTTTAACTTTTTGGTTAGGGGGCCCATCACCTCTTTGTTTCTATGGAAATGTCATTGCTCTGCCTGGAATGTTCCACAGTATGACATTAAACAGCTCTACTTTACCGTTATTCAGTTACAAGTGGTTTTATATCTCAAAAATACCTGGAAAAACAGACATTCTGACTGTGAGCGGGGTCCCCTCTCCACAGATCTGACCTGTAACTTGGTCTGGTTTAGTTTCTATGAAGATAGAAAGGTTTAATACTGTGAAACATTCCAGAAAAAGCAATAACGTCTCCATGAAGAAAAGCATTTGACAGACCCTCCATCAGAAAGGTTACACAATGCAACTTTAACAAAAAGCAACAATATAAAAGTAAAAGCCTAACTTGTTTCTTCTTCTTTCTTTCTTGTAGGTAACACAGACAACATCTTCTCCATAGACGCCTCCTCCGGCTCCATCTCTGTAGCTAAACCTTTAGACCTTCAGCCTCTCGATCGCTTCCATCTCACAGTGAAATCTACCGACCAAGGCTTCCCCCAGCGCTCCGATCTCTGCTCCGTCCACGTCAACATCAAGATTTCAGAAAACACGCCCCCTGTCTTCCAATCTGAAGACTTTTTAGCAGAAATCAGTGAATTCAGCCCTATAGGAACATCCGTCATCACCGTAGCAGCCTCGAGCCCCACTGCAGTACATTACGGCATCGAAAGCGGCAACTCGAATGGCACTTTTCATATAAATCCTTACTCTGGGCTAATTTCAACGCAAAAACATATCGATTTTGAACGTTTTTCTACGTATAAGCTCAAAGTTACGGCTTCCACCAACGCTGGCGCTGTATCCGAAACAACTGTGTACATTTACGTGATCGACGAGAATGACAACGCTCCAGTATTCGTCAAAAGGGAGTACTTTGGGCAAATTAGCGAAGCGGCAAACGTGAATAGCCTCGTAATGGGAGAAAACAACACCCCGCTGGTCGTCCAAGCCACCGACGCGGACAGAGATGCGAATTCCCAGCTTTATTTTGAAATCCTAGAGGAAGAAGCGTTGAGGATTTTCAAGATAGATCCAAGTATGGGGACTATATCTTTAATTTCGATGGTCGATTTTGAAAACAAGGACAGGTATGAGTTCACGGTTCATGTCAAAGACTCCGGGGAACCTTTATTGTACGCAACAGAGCCTGCGAAAGTTACAATCCGAATCTTGGACCTAAATGATTGCCCTCCACAATTCAGTTCACCTCTGTATAAGGCATCGATCATAACGCCGCCTGTCAGAAAAGCAGAGGTGGTTCGAGTCAGTGCACACGATGAGGACTCTACCGTGGTCTACAGCATCGCGGATGGAAATTTCAACAACGCTTTCTCAATCGATCAAAATTCCGGGGTTATTTCTGTCGACAACGTGTCCGATTTTAAGCATTTTTATCAGCTAGTCATCCGAGCGAGTGATGGGCTGTACAAAGACTCCGCCATCGTAAAGATAACGCTGACAAACCTCACCGAAACTGATTTGAAATTTGAGCAGCAGTTCTATTCTGCAAGTGTCAGCGAAAATAGCAAAACACCAAAAATATTAGCTGCGTTGAAGGTTTCCGGATGCTACCTAAACGAACCCCTAACGTACACTGTCATAAATCCAATGGGAAGATTTGGTATTTCTGAAACTTCTGGTATTTTTGAAAGCACCGGTGTCCCTTTTGATCGAGAAATTCAAGATTTATATGAGATTACCGTAAAAGTTGAAGATTTGCGTGCCCCTCCGAGAACTGCAACCACTGTAGTTAAAGTCTATATTGACGATGTTAACGACAACGCGCCACACTTTTTGAATTTGCCGTTTTCAGCGATGATTTCTGACGATATCGAACCGGGAGATGTTTTGTACCAAGTGACGGCGATCGACAAAGATTTGGGCGAAAACGCTATGGTTGTTTATTCGCTCGAAGATAATTTTGAACTTTTCCGAGTTGACCCAAACGTCGGCGATGTCTCACTCCAAAGACCTCTTGATTTCGAAGCTTTGAATAAATACGTTTTGACAATTGTGGCGACCGACGAAGGCGAGCCTAACTACAGCGCAGCATCGCAGCTAACCATCCAAATTCGCAATAGAACCAATCCCATTTTCCAAACGCTACTGTATCCCTTAAAAGTTCCTGAAAATGTCCCGCTTTTTGCCACCATTTTACACGTCCAAGCTCGTAATCCAGAAGGCTACCGTCTAATCTACAATCTCCAAGAAGAAAACGCAACCAAACATTTTCATATTGATTTTAAAACTGGCGTCTTGACCGTTACAAACCCGCTGGACTACGAAGCCCAATCAATGCACATTTTAACTGTCAGAGCAACCGATTCAGTCACTGGAGCGTATTCGGAAGCCACAATCGAAGTCGAAGTCGAAGATGTTAACGATAACGCGCCAATATTTTCAAAACTAGCGTATTCCACAAACATCGCAGAAGGTTTACCAATTGGTACATCAGTTTTACAAATTTACGCAACGGATAAGGACTCAGGACGAAACAAAGAGCTTACATTTCAGTTGATCAAAACCGAAGGAAACGAAACTGACTTTTTTGAGATTGACAAGCAAACGGGATTGATTACTACCAAGGAAATTCTCGACTACGAAGACACAACGCATTTTGATTTGAAAATACGTGTCAGCGACAATGGCACGTATCCTCTCAGCAGCGAAACTTTTGTGCTCGTGAATGTAACGGACGTCAACGACAACCCACCTGATTTCGTAAACCCTCAGTACGATACTACGCTTGACGAAATGGCAAAATGCGGACATATTGTTGTTAAAATTCAAGCTTCGGACAGAGACGCCAACGATGTCAACAATCTAAAGTACAAAATCTTATCTGGGAACGAAGGGAGATATTTTAACATCAACGAATCATCTGGAATCATTTCATTTTCAAACGTTTGCAAAAAGAACCTGGATCCTTATTACAATTTAACTGTAGCAGTGTCGGATGGTGTGTTTCAGAAAACAGCTCCGGTGAATATTGACATGATAAATCGAAATCGGCATAGTCCGTATTTTAAACAGAACATTTACGAAGCAGAGCTAGCTGAGAATGCAGAAGCGGGGACTAGGGTGATCAGACTAGCCGCTATAGATCCAGATGAGGGACAGTACGGAGCTGTGGACTACACTATTATCAATAAACTTGCCGATGAGAAATTCAAAATCGATAAAGATGGACAAATTGTGTCACAACACAGCCACTGGACAGAGAATCGCACAGAGTTATCGCTATCAAAGTTATGGCGAGAGACGGCGGTGGTAGAGTTGCGTTTTGCACCGTAAAGATTATCCTGACAGATGAAAACGACAATGTTCCGCAATTCAAAGCTACTGAATACCAAGTTGCAATTCAGTCCACCGTCAACAAGGGGGCGCCGGTGATCCAGATCATCGCATATGACGCAGACGATGGCAAAAATGCAGATGTGACGTACACGGTTGACGAGGTGGAAGAAGTTACCGAAGATATCATCGAAATCAACCCTTTTACGGGACTGGTTAGCGTCAAGGAAAGTCTTGTGGGCTTGGAAAACAAAATATTTAATTTCAAAGTAAAAGCAAGAGACGGCAGCTTGCCTTTTTACAACTCAACCATTCCAGTTCAAGTCAAAGTCGTGCCCCCAGAAGTCCCTCTACCAAAATTTTCAGAACCTTTGTACACGTTTTCGGCAATGGAAGACATCCCGGTTGGTACGGAGATCGGAACAGTCAGAGCCAAATCGGATATGCCGGTTATCTATAGTCTTGTAGATGGGAATACAGTGGAAAGCAATAAAGATAAAGTGTTTAGTTTGGATGAAGAAAGCGGTACGTTGGTTTTGCAGAAGACCATCGATCACGAGAAGACGAAATGGTATCAGATAGACGTAGTTGCTCAAGGAAATCACAATGGGACCGATGTGGCGTCTCTGGTCTCTGTCAGTATCCAGGTCCAGGATGTGAATGACAACCAGCCTGTTTTTGATGCCAGTCCCTACAGAGCTTACCTGGCTGAGAACATGCCCGCAGGAACCACAGTCATACAGGTGAGGAGGAAATCTAGTTGTAAAAGTGCAATTAAAATCATTACGAAAGTTATTGGTGGTTTAGGATCTGATGATATTATAGTCCCAGTTTTCCTTATTATACACTTTCCTAAGAAATATCCAGAAGCAAATTCACAAATCAGATCATTTCTATTAGTGACTAACAGTAATAATCTGCATTTTAATTACATTAATTGTAATATATGTATTAAATATCATTGGCCTTTAGAATCAGTGTTGGGAAGGTGACTTTTAAAATGTATTCCCCTACAGATTACAGATTACATACCCCAAAATGTAGTTTGTAACGGAATCCATTAAACTACTTAAAGTGAGTAACGTAATCTGAATACTTTGGATGACTTGATATTCTCTTGGTTTTTAAAACTACATGAATGTAGCAACCACATCCTGAAAATTTTTGTCTGTTGTCTTCAAATTAGCTATTGAGCCCAAGTCTCTATGAACTCTACTGTTCACTGTAGAGAAGCAAAGACTAGGATCTCTTAACATAAGAGGTTTTGTCTGTTAAAAGACAATAAAAAGCCCAGTCTTTCCTTAACCAGATTAAAAATATTATTGATAGAGAAATGATTTCTACTGTATATGAGATCACTGCTGCTTTAAATTATGTCCACCCTACTGTTCGGTGTCATATAGTTTAGACTTGGTTTAGTCCTGCTTTAGTCCTGGTTTAGTCCTGGTTTTAGTCCTGGTTTTAGTCCTAGTTTAGTTCTACTTTAGTCCTGGTTTAGTCCTGGTTTAGACCTGGTTTAGTCCTGGTTTAGTCCTGGTTTTAGTCCTGGTTTTAGTCCTAGTTTAGTTCTGCTTTAGTCCTGGTTTAGTCCTGGTTTTAGTCCTGGTTTAGTCCTGGTTTAGCCCAAAATGTGAAAACAGGAAAATACCGCCATGTAATCCATTTATTTTAACAAAGTAACTGTAATCCAATTACCACTCATTGAAACAGTAACTGTAACTGAATACAGTTACTCATGATTTGTACTCTGATTACGTAATGCCGGTACATGTAATCTGTTACTCCCCAACACTGTTTAGAATGTTGTGATGTCATCTTAAACCCAGCATGAAGGTCCCCTACAGAAAATCATTCAATCTTACTAGACTAATAAAAGACTAACTGTAGGTACGAAAGCAAAATCAAATGCTAAACTTAAAGAAACCAAGATTAACTAAACCAGGACAAGACTAATAAGATGCGACACTTTTATTAAAATACCTGAGATCGGTGTCATCAAACTAAGGCCCAGGGGCTTACTCTGGCCTTCCAGCCCCTCTGCCCCCCACCACCTGAACTGGCCCTATGAGGCAATCCTCAAAAGTCGTCTTCGCCTATTTTTTTTTTCAGATTACTTTTTGCCAAATAATAACACATCTGCATCTTGTATTTGATAGATTTTTTTCAATAAAAAAATCTATATTTATATGAATATATATATTTCAATTTTTCATATTTATATTTAAATAATTACATGACGTATTTACATTTGCTGCCAAATTTTCGTCACCTGAGAAGCTCGAGATCAAACAGTGACAGTCAACGCACGCACAGGACAGCAAAATGTCTCGTGTTAAAGTACAAAATCTTGACAGAGAGTGGAACAGTGGAAGACCGATTATTTTTTTGTTCAGTGTAAGGACCGAGCAGATTGTGTGATATGTAAAGAAAGTGTGGCAGTTTTCAAAGAATATAATCTGCGTCATAAGGGTCATACAATTCTGTTATACGGCCGACCCGCCCCCACCCCCATCCCAGTCTTTCGATAATGTGGCCCCCAGAGAAAAAAGTTGAGGTGACCCCTGCTTTCGATAATGGTGTGCAATAAATACATAAGTAAGTAAGTCTTTATTTATATAGCGCTTTTCATGGACATTTTTTTGTCACAAAGACGCTTTACAGAGCATTATTCAGCATTAGTCATTCACTCTATACCTGGTGATGGTAAACTACTGTTGTAGACACAGCTGCCCTGCTTTTAAATTCATTTAATGTTTTGTTTTGCACTTTTTTTGACCTTTATTACAAATCATTAAAATATTTACTTTGTGGATCTGTTGGTTTATTATTTAAAAAAAACATTATATTGGCTATAGTCAGTCAGTATGTCCCAGGGCAGCTGTGACCACTGTAGTATCATCATCACTAAGTGTGGAGTGAATGTGCACTGTAAAGCACTTTGGGGGTCATGAAAAGCGCTATATAAATGCAATGATGAATTTATTACTTTGCAAAACTTTAACTGAAATTGCGTTAAATCACTTTATATTAAATGTATTCAGTTATTGAAAATGTTCTAAGTGTTAATAAATGTTACTTGTTTGTAGGTAACAGCCAATGACCCTGACACAGAGTCCAATGGCGTTGTGAGCTACAGCCTTCAGTCTCTCCCCGACGACCCAAGCGACATAAACCAAATCTTCACCATAAACCCGGACAGCGGCTGGATCACCACGGCAGCAGAAACCGACTGTGAAACCACCAGACTCTACCGTTTCCACGTCATCGCCACGGACCACGGAGGAGACGTCAAACTTTCCTCCAGCGTTCTGGTGGAAGTCACGGTAACGGACGAAAATGACAACCCTCCGAAGTTCACCGAAGAGGTTTACCAGGGTTCCATCGTGGAAAACAGCGAGCCGGGAGAGGTGATCGTGACCATGACAACCACGGACAGGGACGTCTCCATGGAGAACCGCCTGGTCACCTGCTACATCACAGGTGAGTGAGGAGAGACACGTGGAGACAGCAGGTAATAAGAATAATCATACCTGCATTTATTTTATTTTCTGTGTTTTGTTTTCATCAATGACGGCCACATCTGTGAACATATCATTAGTTTGACCCTAAATCATACAGTTTTGATCTAAAGCCATAGTATGTAACTTTTTTGCCAAAAAATAGACTGAATCATCTTTTATTTATTTATTTTTTTTATTTTGGTTTAGCTTTATTCCCTGAGAAACATAGAAAAGCACGCACCCTTACTGTAACTGGGCTTGCATCTCCACAAACCTGACTCTTATTTGGCCAGGAGAAGGGCGTCCTCCTGCTTGTTTCCATGGAAATGTTCCACTGGCTATAATCTCACAGTATATAACCTCTTTATCTCTACAGAGAATGTTCCAAAGTATGATTTTTAGGGGTGTAATGATATTCAAGTCTCACGATATGTTATTGTCACGGTATGAACCTCACAGTATGATATTTATTGTGATATCGCGGGAAAGTTCATGATATGGTGGGGAGGCTCACGATTAGGGATGTAATAATATCCAAATCTCTCTGTACAATATTTTCACAATATACATCTCACAGTACGATATTTATTGTGATAGTTTTTGGAGGTTAAGGCCCATCTCATGCAAAATCAACTTTTGAGTGATGTGTGGGCCTTGTATATGTCACCAAAATGGTTTTTAGATTGACTCTGTTTTTTTTTTAACAAACTGCAGCGTATTTCTGCCACCCTCCCACGTGACAACGAACTAAAGCTGCTACAAGGATGACGCAGCCGATACACCTATGACGCGTTTGACGTAACGGAAAGCGCTTCGCACCCGCCCCCCTCCCCTGCTCCACCGCCTCCGCCCTGCCTCCTCCAGTGTACACGATATAATAAGTTTATCTACTAGTGTTTATTAATACTTTACCAATCAGTAATGTTCAGCTGATGTCGACGCGGTGCTTGAGCTTCGTGCTCCTCAAAGTCCTCGTCCAATTCCGGGTCCCACACATGTGGCTGAACGCGCTGTATCTCCATGATGAATAAAAGTTTATTCCTACCGCTATCAGGGTGCACGTCTGTCTCCCCCTCCCTCCCTGAGATGGGCGGAGGAAGGGCGGCTCACTCAGAGCCTACGTCACGTTTGGAGGGCGGAGCCTGTGCTTTCTCAGGACGGGCGGGGGGAGGAGCAATAGTCGTCCTTTCATAGTTCCTGGTCTGTGACTGTCTCCAACAAATCAGTAAGATTTCATAACTATTGTGTAATGGATGTTCCAAAACCCAAATTGTGCTTTTATATGTGCAGAAGATACAATGTGAAAAGAGTCATTTTACATGAGATGGACCCTTTAACAAAATTGTTAATATGCTACTTTTTCCTTTTAAAATGCCTTGACAAGACTTATCCCAAAGAGCTAAGACTTAAAAGTGCTTAGAACTGTTATTTTTTCTTGTAGTCTGTGCTGAAATGGAGCAAAGGATCATGGGTCTATGTAGTTCTGTCTTTTTTGCTTTCTATTGCTGCACCGTAACTGTTAATTTAAGCAAAGAGACGATATATTGTGATGGTCCACGATATTATTGCAAGGACTTTGATGATACGACATCACGATATTTCGATTATTGTTACATCCCTAATGACTTTACTTTCAATTTCCATGGAATCATGCAGGTGACATGCCACCTCCAGAAAACGACTCAACATTAACATATTATTCATCAAGTTTATGTTTATTTATTATTTGATACAAACATTGATAAGCCTGTCTTTGCAAAATCATCAGGCTCGTACAGTGTGGATGAATAAACAGAAACAAACGTGTGATATACGTGATCAGAATTAGCAAATCACAAACTCTTTAATTATTTATACAATATAATGCCCAATACAGAGGAGTATAAAAGGTGCCCTATAGTTTAAATCACTACAAACATGTTCTGAAATGCATGGGATTCCTCTATTAGTTTTGTAGATTATATATTTGTGCTTCTCTCTAGTATTCATGATCCTTTGTCTGAAGAGATAATGCAAATAGAACCAGCTAATTTGGCGTATTATAGGCGCTGTACCTGAGTCTTAAAACATGAAAAAATTTTAAACAGTTTGCAGTGGTCCAAATTCATTCCTCACTTACCTTGTGCATTCAGAGCATCCTCGTTATCAGTACAGAATTTTGCCTTAACAGTAAAGTGAACAACAACTAGCAGGCTATTATCTGTCATAAAAGTCTGGCAGAAGTAGACAGCGGACTTATTTTGACCTTATTTACACAATACAATACATATTTTATGCAGGTCCTTCAAAAGTACCGTATTTTCCACACTACAGGGCGCACTTAAAAGCCTTTAATTTAATCCAAAAACGACTGCGCGCCTTATAATCCAGAGCACCTTATATATGAATTTATTCATGTGTCTTAGTACGACTTTAGTAAACTACAAAGCCGCTCCACTTGCAGCATTACAGCTCCCGTAGTCAGGAGCATCAGGAGTAATGCATACTGTGTTTCCTTTTAATATAAAAATGCACCTGTCAAGAGACACGCTTATAATGTCCACTTTAAACTCAAGGCGTTTATAAAGTGAAAGTGCGAGCTGCGTGGGAGCAGTGGATGAGAGAAGGAGAACACACATTCACCAAGACAGGAGAGACAGCGCCGAGCCACTTACACCACGATCTGCCAACGGATCGTGGACGCCTGGGCTAAGGATCAGTATCAACTGTGGTCCGAGCTTTCACCAAGACCAGAATCATCACTGAACTGTCAGGGAACAGTAACCACACTGACTCGGATAATGACGAGAGGGATGTGGACGTGCTGGACGCTGTAATCGCCCAACTGTTTGAACAATAGACGCATCAAGAATCTCGGACTTCCGGTCATTGTGCAATACATACTGGGAAGGATTTTCCAAAAAAGTGAGCATCAAACCGCCATGTTTTTTTTTTCCCAGTGGGATGCATCTATTGACACAGCCAGTCTTTTCTAGTCTTTTGAACCATATCACTTTTGTTTCTGGTTCCGATATTGTCGGATCAGGTTTTTGCTTTGATGGTGTTCCACATACAAAATGTTCGCTGCAAACTCGGAATGATTTCTTAGGCAGTCAAAGATTACATTTTTCGTCTTTCCTGTAGATCAATCCTGCCCATCGCCTTCACCTTTCACTATTTTTCAATTCCATTGGGAAGAGAAACAGTTTGAACAGAGGTTTGCAGTCACACACATCTGATTCCCTTTTGCATTTATGGAGTTCGCAAACAAATTTCTCGAGCCGTTTTCCGCTGTTAGGATCCAACAACCACACAATTACAATGTCTGAATCCTAAAACTAAAATATGACAATATCAGAACCAGAAACAAAAGTGATGTAGTTCAAAAGACTTGAAAAGATCGACTTTGTCAATAGACACATCCCACTGGGAAAACAAACATGGAGGTTTGATGCTCACTTTTTCAGAAAATCCTTCCCAGTATGCATTGCGCGATGACCGGAAGTCCTAGATTCTTGATGCGTGTATTATGAGTTACTGTGAATACACTAACAATTTAGCCCTTTCGGACAGTTTTTTTTTTTTTTTACAATTTTTACGGGATTGAACAAAGTTTGAAGTCCGGTTCAGTTTATATGTGAAAAAAGTTTAAGTGACAGTGTGCCTTATAATCCAGAGCGCCTCTACTGCAGAAAATACTATACATATTTAATGCAGGTCCTTTGAAAAGTAATATTATCAAATCTCTGCACTGAGTGTCATGGGAAGAGCTGAGTCAATAAAAACCGTGTTAGCATAATTATTCATGTTTTATTTATTGTAATTCTGTTAGCACGTTTAATTAGCATGTGAGCTACAGGCTAAACAATGATTAATTTCATTTGCATAGCACTTTGCCCAGGTCCATGCGTCATTCACGCGCGGCTGCTCTTGAACACCTAAAGCAATTCTGTTCTGTCCCCAAACAGATTCTTCATATGAACTGTTGCTTAAAGGGATAGTTTGGGATTTTTGACATGAATCTGTATGGCATCCCCGTGAGCAGTGTCGTGCATCCACACTGACTTACCCCCGACAGCGTCCGGTGAGCCGAGATACTGGCCGTTTTCGGTGCTGACGAAAGTAGTCCGGCAAGTTGGCTGGGGACTGTATAATAAAGTGTTTTTCTTCTCAAAACAATATGTGTTCAAAAGAGTGATACATTTGCATCACAAAACCGTCGTCGCCTAAAACGTCAGACCTCATTATCACTTGGCACTATTTTCTTTCCGTTCGTATCACTGCGCGCGGCCGCCAGGTGACAGCCGCGCCTGGTTCACTTTGTTTACTGCTCGGAATGTTAGTGACAACATGTCTGATTACGACACCGACAATAAAGACTTTGACTTTACCACAAAGCCAAGGGGAGATCTTTGTGAACCCAAATATACTGATCCTGAATTTCGCCAGATGGAGTTAGAACGAGCAGAGAGAGAGAAAAGACAGAGAAGTGGTACAAGTTGAAGCTGGAGCCGTGAGAGACCGAGTGAGCGACAATCACCATCACGTCATTTATAAACTCGTATACAGCGAACATAGAGCCTCCACTGTGACTGAAGCATGGACGACTAATAGAAACATGGAATCATCCACACGTCCACGTAGCTGCTGACAATAGTGTAAGAGACATTTACAATAGTAATAACAGTCGACTTATAAAGTTAGGTTTTGTAGAAGCTTCACTGGTGATATGACACTGAGTGATTTACAGCTGATTCTTGAGTCTGTTCTCTTGTAAACACAGCGGCACTTCTTCGTTCTTACCTGGTTTAGTTTCCACGTTGAAGCCAAAGGCAAGAAGCCAAAGTTTCCTCAGCGCAAAGTCTGTGACAGGAAAACGGTGAAATGTGTGTGGAGATTCAGCCAGATTTTAGTTGTTACAGCCTGGAGAATCAGGAGTTCGCACCATTTTTTAGATATATTCATATGTATCTTATACAAGCTTATATACTTATGGCTCTAGCTCTCACGTTGGCTCTCTCACGTCACAGAGGTCTGCACATGTAAACACTGCAACAACTGAACAAAGTGATGGATTCATGCGCAGCTGTCACCTGGCAGCAGCGCACAGTGATACAAACGGAAAGAAAATAGTGCCAAGTGATAATGAGGTCTGACTTTTTAGGTGACGATGGTTTTGTGATGCAAATGTATCACTCTTTTGAACACAGATTGTTTTGAGAAGAAAAACACTTTATTATACAGTCCCCAGCCAACTTGCCGGACTACTTTCGTCAGCACCGAAAATGGCCAGTATCTCGGCTCACCGGACGATGTCGAGGGTGTCAATGCGGATGTACGACACTGCTCACGGGGATGACAGACAGATTTATGTAAAAAATCCCGATATATCCCTTCAAAGGCGCTCTGTGTAACTTTTCTAGTGTGGGGAGCGCTGCAGCTTGCCTGGAATGTTCCACAGTAGAACATTACACTAATCTATCTTGCATTTATTCAGTTGCAAGTGTTTATTGATCAAAATGACCTGGCATCTTACAAGCAGGTAGTAGTCCCACCAACAGAAATGTTACACAGTACAACTTTAAATATCACTGACCTCTCTACTCTGCAATGTATTCTGTAGCTTTTGAAATCACCCTCCACGGAAAAGTCTCAAGTTTTATTTTATTTTTTCAGCTCTATTTGCTGCAGTTTTCCCTGTAGTTTGTGAACATTTAAAATAAGGTGAAATAAATCTGTTAATTGCCTTCCTCTGAGCATTCAGGCATCAGCGTGCAGGGCCGCAGGAGTCACCGCAACCAAACGCCCTGCAGCTAACAGCAACAGCCGGGCAAACAAATGCAAATCTGATACTCCCATCCAGACGCCCGTCTTTTATGTATAAAGAGCCGTTTGAATGGTCTGTCAGTGTAGGTCTGACCATTAAAAAAAACCTTTCATGAATTCACAGAGAAGGGTAGAATTGTGTCTAAATATTGATTGTGGTTGCAAAGGGGGTTGTTATAAATTAGAAATGCAAAAGATGTTTATGGAGAGTGGGAATATACTCCATAAGAGCTGAAGTAAGAAACTGGCTTCAAAGTTCAGTTTTGTAACCTGACCTACTACTACCAGGAGTACTACTATTACTACTGCTACTACAACTTTTGTGGAAGCTTTAGCCCAGGCATTTCCAAACTATGGCCCGTGGGCCAAATGCGCCCCTCAGACAAATTTTTCTTGGCCCTCAGGCTTCCAGGTGAATTGGCCCAAATTATCTTGCATTGCATAAAAATGTACTTTTTACTACAAGTTTTTTTTTTTTTTTTTTGAAAATCTACAGTGATAAAGCTAATATTTAATATTTAGTGTGTAGTTTTAAGGATCTTAGCATGAATAAAGACTGATGGATCATGCTAATGTGTTAAACATGTACATATTTCAGTTATTCACTGTATTGAGCACCAGTCTACGGCCCTCGATCGGCCCTCTGCTTCATTTGTGGTTAGATATGTGGCCCTTGATGAAAAGAATTTGGACACCCCTGCTTTAGTCTATTGATTTCTGTCAACTGATGTCATTAACACTGGTTGGGTAAATATAACTGATATTTATATTTGAAATTCCTTTGCAAGGCCCACAGATCTATGTTAAAGCCATAGTACGTAACTCTTTGGGCACATACTAAAATTAAAGCATGCTTTTTTCATTATGGATGTTTTTACAGCATTGAAAAGTGTAGAAAATCTTAAATATCTTCATTAAAAAAAGAAAGTCTTTATATGGGGCATTAAACCTGTTTATCTCCACACAGAGAAGCAGGTGGTGTGTCTTTATTCTCACTTACGTTATTAGAGTTTTAAGACCTGGGGTTGGCGCTCCTCCATTTTGTCACAGATATAAATCTTGTGTTGTTTCTTTGGCAGAGTTGCACTGACTTCAATGTCGCAGTAGTTTTTCTGAAGTCAATGACTGAACAGCTTTTAACATAAGGACTTGAGCGCTTCAGGCAGTTTCTTTTCTGGGAAAATGAGCCAAGAACATAAAGATCACCTCAAATCAACCACAGCACAGTGTCAGAAATGGGTGAGAAAGACAACAGAAAGTGGCAGTTAATGATGTAAAGTGTACAAATGGGCCGTTTAGTTTAAACCAAATAGTCCATTAACCAAACCACACGTTACAACTTTCTACACACTATAAATACACAGGATATGGGGTTTCTTCAACTCTTCTTCACAAATTTGATTTAATTTAATTCTACTTTTTTGTCTGATTTGGGCTGTATGTTTTTAAGAAAAGTAGTGGTAGCAGGTTCGATCTTTAGTAGTAATTGTAATAGTGGGTGTAGTAGTAATGGTAGTATGATTGAATAGTAGTAGTAGTAGTAGTCCTTCATATATTTTCAAAACATTACAAAACCAAAGTTGCATTATTGTTCTGTTTGCATCATCTTGGCCAAATTTGTCTTTTATTTTGAGAGGATTAAAAATTAGTTTTGAACACATTTCACTTTGCTTTAAATCTGATGCAACTCTTAACAAGTATCCTATTCAAATCTTATCCACGACCTTTCACACCTTTCTGCATTACAAAAATCTTCAAAAGTTTCATAAATTTCATTAAAATTTTGCTGGAGGATAAACAACCAAAGCTCAGAACCAGTCTCCTTGTTGTGATGATTAAACATTTCTTGTTGAACCGAAAACTTGAGAAATCCCGCTCTGCAAACACAAATTAGTGAATAATTCATCAAAGCGGCGCAGTATCAAAGCTCAGGCCTGAGAAAGCACATGCAAAGGTAATGAGGCGTCCACTGCAATATGTGACTAACATACGAAAACGTACGGCAACTGCAACTCTTTCTGGGGTTAGGTTTTACTCTTACAAAGTAAACCTGCATACAGAGGAGGAAGTACTCAGTTAAAGGTCCTATATTACACAAAATGGATTCTTTTTGAGCTTTAAGTCATGTTATATGTTGGAACAGTCTAAATATGCAGGATTTAATGTGTTAAAATCAGAATTATAGATCAGAAAATAGCGTAAGATGAGCCCTTTAAAGTGAAAGTGAAATACTAAATTCTTTTTTCACTATAAATGTGTATATGGTGTTTTAATAGCTTAATCTACTGTTCCTAGTCATTTTTAGCAACTTTATTGTAGGTAAATTTGCAGCTTGCTTCTCAAAAACACCTAATTCTAAGTCTGTGCTGCCTTCAGTGGCCTCCGCAATTTCAAGTACTACATGACATCACACAGGACTGCCCTGATTACAGCCGGGTGTTCCTGAGTGTGGAGTTTGAAGTGTTAATACCTCTTTGAGCAATCACACTGTTCCTTATACCCCCTGACCCCGCCCTCCCTCCTTTAGTCCTCCAGACCCTGCCCCTACTCCCTCCCTCTCCCCTTTAGTCCTCCAGATATCACCCCTCCTCCTTCCCTCACTCTCCCCTTTAGTCCACCAGACCCCACCCCCTTTCCTTTCACCCGCCCCCTCCTCCTACCCCTCTGAATCTCCTCTTTAGTCCTCCAGACCCTCCCCTTCCTGCCACCTCACTCTCCCCTTTCGTCCTCCAGACCCTCGCCCCCTTTTAGCCCTATTTTTAAAATCCTTGAGTAACTTGAGAACTTTCCTTTACTGTATACTGTACAACATATATTTGTTTGCAGGTCTTTTTATATTGGCCAAAAATACATTTTAAAAAGATACATTCTTTGTGTGAGCATGGTCACCTCTCCGCAGATCTGACCTATAACTTGGACTGATGGTGTTGTCATCTTTTCTCCATAGAGAATCTAATCTAAATCTAATCTGTGGAACATTCTAAGATATAATCTCATTTGTCAGAACGTTTGTACAGTTTTTAACAGAATAAGGCCCTGTCCACACTAGTACGTATTCAAATAATTCTTGTTTGAGGATGCAGTGTTCGTTCACACTAATCCAACTGAAAATTACTCCAGAGACGGAATGATCTGGTGCCGCAGGCTCCCAAGAATTCATCTGAGTACAGATCTGATCCGGCACTGTGTGGACGCCTGAAAACGCTGATATGCTGATGTAGTTCTATGCACCGGGAAGTAGCTAATTCACCACCAAAATACTAAGAGGCTAGAATATATTCATATATATACGGTCTGTGTGTACGACCTGCAGACATATAATGTCTGAACAGACTCACCATCAGCAGAACACCCCTCTGTCACAGAAAGAACACTCATATTCCACTGAGCCGTGTCCTTTAGTCCGACAGAAGCTAAACCGCATAAGCGCACAATAGCGAGCTGTTTTTTAAGCACTCAGTTTATGCAAATTAGCCATGCAGTTTTAAGTTTCGTTTCTGTAAAGCGTAAACAAATATGCTCAAAGCTGTGTGGATAGAGAAGGGTTGGGGACACAGAAACGATGTGTGTGGATGCAGATCGTTTCCAGTATGGTGATACGGTGATACACGGATTCATTTCAGTATAAACGGACGTGGACATAGAGACACATTCCATGGATTTCAGAATGATAAGAAATTAGGAGTGTCACCGTAGCAACAAAATGTTCTATCTTTTGAATGAGAAAAGTCTTCAAACCCAAGAATAGACGACATAATGTTACCAGCCTTGCCATTCAAATCGCTTTTTACTTGAACTGTGAACACGCTTTCATCCATATCTTGATGTTGTCTTTGCTGTTGTCCGCAGACGGTGACCCCTTGGGGCAGTTTGCGGTGGTGCAGGTGGATGAGGGCGTGTGGGGGCTGATCTCTAAAGAGCCTCTGGACCGAGAGATCTCCGAGCGCTACAGTCTGAAGATCACGGCCACAGACGGACGCTTCCAGAGCCCGGTGTCTGTGGAGCTGCACGTGCTCGATGTCAATGACAACAGCCCACACTGCCAGCAGGTAATATACACACTCAGAATAATCAAACAAAATAATGAACTCGACTCATATAGTGCTGTTCGGACATGCAAAGCTCCCTGGTGCCCTGGATCTGGCAATGTGGGTGAAGTGCCTTGCCCAAGGACACAACCACACAACTCGGTCTCAACAGGACTTGTCAGTTAAAGGGCCTGTCTTGTTAAACTCCATTCACCAGAATCATTTGGATAATTTCAGCTCAGGAATTGCCAATCTTTCCAAAAATAAAAAGTAAAATGTTGCTGTTATCTCGAAAACTACCGCTTTGTAACAAGATCATGAGATGGGTTCCTACAGCGACAAATAAAGTTTCTTGATGCTTTTGGGAAGTTTTGACCTAATGTGGACAAGTGTAATTTTAGGTTAAAAAAAAAGATTCACCCGGTACCTCAGGCAGTGTCCTTGCTTCCTCCCATCCATCTTGTCTGTACATTAATGACCCCTTCCTCCCCTGTGCAGCTGTTTTACCAGGCAATTCTCTGTTATTTGTCTGATTTCAGCTGCTCTACACTGAGGCGGTGATGGAGAACTCGCCCACAAACCAGTTCATCCTGAAGGTGTCTGCGTTTGACCCAGATCTGGGCTCCAACGGACACGTCTCCTACACCCTCCACGGGCCTGACGCACACAAGTTCCACCTCAACCACAAAACAGGTACAGGACACACATTATGGATAGATAGACAGACAGATCAAGCTACATAGAGAGATACATTTAAACGTTTCTGATGAGGGTTCTGCCACCTGCTTGTCTCCATGGAGATGTTTATGCTTTACCTTGAATATTCCACAGCATGGCATTAAACATTAGCCTGATTCATCAGATGGTTTCACTTTGTGGAAACTTCACAACATTAGAATTTGTTCGCTCAACGGTAGGCGGGTTTTTATTTATTTATTTTTTTGTTTAACCAGTCGTTGCTATTTGGTCGTGATGTATGTAATGCACCACTAATGGTAGGGTGACCATATTTCCGTTTGTGAAAACCCAGGACACCTTACCGGGGGTGGGGCCTCTATATTGAGCTACACTCACCTCACAACCTGTGCACATGGCCTCTCACTTCCCCGACCAGAACGGAAAATGGAGAATTTCTTGTATAAGTCATTGTTAAATGTGCATTTGTGTCTCGGCGTGTTGCAGACTGACCTGACTGTTTGTGTCTGAGTCACAGAGAGCTACGAGAGCCACTCAATGAAAGATCATGAAAACCTGAACATTTCCATCACTTAAAAAAAAGAAAAACTGCGTCCAGGACGCAAAAAACGGACATGTCTGGGGAAAAACGGACGTTTGGTCACCCTAGCTAACAGGGCTAACTGGTATATTAAGCTATTCTCAAATCCTGTAGGAAGAAGGACAATAACGTCTTTCCCCTTGATAAAATTCACCAAACATTCTCTTTGTTCCGGCTTTAAATCCTCGATCTTGGGAACACTGAATGTGTGGCTCTTCACTGATTGGCTGGTGCCCAGACTTGCACTTCCAGGGCTTTTACGAACCATCTAGTGTATTCTGATTCCTGACCTAGTCGCTGGAGAGAAATGAAATTGAGCAGAGGCACTCGGTGGTGCCAGCCTGACTAAGTAAACATATCTAGTTGCATTTATTCAGTTACATGTGTTTATTTAGCCCTTTAAAGCTCAAACTTTTCTGTCACCTACTTGTCTTCCCAGTCTCACTTTGAGCAGAGTCACCTCTTCACAGATCTGACTTGTAACTTTGCCTATTGGTGTCTCCTGCTTGTCTCCATGGAGAAGTTTAATGTTATACTGCAAAGATTCTAGACAATGCCGTTACATCTGCATGGAAACAAGCAGGGTGTGGGTCCTCTATTAGGAAAGTTGTATTTACATAGAGCAAAAACTATACCATAGACCAGGGGTCGGCAACCCAAAATGTTCAAAGAGCCATATTGGCCCAAAAAAACAAAAACCATGCCTGCCCGGAGCCGCAAAAAATTAAAAGCCTTATATAAGCCTAATATGAAGGCAACATAGGCTGTCAGTAAATTTATAATCCGACTATTAAAATGACTAAGTCGGCTACAAATACAAAATGAGAATTCATGATACACAAACCCCTTTTGTGACCCTCTCATACTCGCTGCGCCGTCTGTAGCCACTGAAATCAGGTGGTTAGTGTTGATTCCTTTGTCATTTAGGCCCCGTTTACACGTACACAGGTATTTTTAAAAACAGAGACATTTCCCTTCGTTTGTTCACATCGTTTACACGCAAACGGAGAATTCGCCTCTGAAAACGAATCTTTTTAAAAACTCCGGCTAGAGTGGAGATTTTGAAAAACTCCGGTTTCACGTTTGCGTGTAAACTAAAATAAACGGAGTTTTAGGAGCGACTGACGTTTACCTGTTGCTTTGACGACGATGAACTTTGTACGCAACATCAGCCCGGAGCAGAAGCTCTGAGCTCGGGCAGCAGCACTAAACACACGGGAGCAGTCAGTGTGCAGCCCCTCAAGACGGGGCTGGGGGTCCAGTGTTGGTCAGATTATCCGGGGGCTTCGTCCTCCATGTCCTGGTTCCAGACCTGGGCACGCAAAGGACTGGGTCCGAGTGCTTCAGTGCAGTCATCTGTGCGCTGGTTCCGTGTGGGAAAAGCGAGAATGCGCTGTGGATCACAGGTCCGGGTGGGCTGCTCTGGTCCTCCGCGCTCGGCTGGTTCCGAGGGGTGCAAAGCATCTGGACAGAAGCGTGAATCCCGTTTGGTTTGTTATATGTTGTTCTGAGCGTCCGTCTGCGCACATGTTTTTTTGTTTTTTCACTTTTTCGGGGAAAGCGCTTCTCAGGTGGAGGCACCGGACACCACCCCCGCTTCAGCTCATCTATTTGTTTCATGTGTTTCATTTGCACACAGCCGATGGATCAGATCCATGACCAGAGATGAATGAGGGTTTTACCCCTAAAGAAACCAGATTAAAACAACAACCAAAAAAATCATTCCTTTTCCATTTTCACTCATTTTTGAAAAAGCTCCAGGGAGCCACTAGGAGAGTGCTAAAGAGCCACATGCGGCTCCGGAGCCGCGGGTTGCCGACCCCTGCCATAGACAGACTAGGACTAAACCAGGTCTAAGGCAGGTCCAAACACGGTCTAAACTGGGACTAATTACAGGTCCTAAAGTACATTACACAGGATTTACTCTTGTGAGCCTGAGGCCATGTAATAATGTTGTTTCCTGTTCAAGAACCAACCTGGAGTTGTGCTTTGTTACATTCACACATGTTTGAGTAACACTTTATTATTCTGTCTGCATCCCTAAAGCTCAAAATGCTCTGTTCCACCTTGTGATGTCATGAAGCAGTAGTTTTCAAGTTTTCAAGTTAAAGGTAAAGTCCAGAATTTTGGACATAGGACCTCATTTTCTACTGAGTCAGAGTGTTGGAAACGTGTGGAGACACTTTTTGAAATATTACATCCAGTCCTTGTATTTGCAGAGGTCACTGGTGCTAGACTAGTGCATGTCAATGGTCAGAGTTCTCCTGCCACTAAAAACAGTCTTACCCACTCCACAAAACACCCGAAGAAAATCTATTATTACACCAGACTGTTGATGGGTCCGGTCAAGTGGTAACGGAGGGAAACGGCCAGATTTTTTACATTCAAATGTCTCTTATTCAGAAACTAGAGGGACTATTGAAATAAGTAAAGTATCAGAATGTAGGAAAGAGTTACACTCCAACAGGGTCAAGTTAAACCTGTGATATTCTTTCAAGTTGTTGACAAAAAATTTAAAAAATCATGTCGGTAACAGAGGGAATGAAATATGCAGCACTTTTTGGGCAATAAATCCAAACAGTGATAACTCTTGGTTCTCACTTCCATATCCTTAACAAACTGGTTTGAATGTTTGCTTCATATAGTTTTCTACCATATGGTACAAGATTAGGTTGAAAAACCTCTTACTTTTTGACTCATGAGATTTTTTATGAAGAAAGGTCATGGTAACGGAGGGAAAAGTAACGGAAGGAAAATTGGGCAAACAAGTAGAAGGTGCAGGATTTTACATAATGATAATGTGTCAGCTTTTTTCTTCCGAAAACTTTAATATTACTTCAAAATGTAAGGAAACTATTTCTATAAAATATGTCAGTCCTTCCAAGCTAATTTTTATCATTTTAAATACTTTTTTTTATTTTTATTCATGTACCTTCATCAACAGTTCAAAGATGGAATAACACAAGAAATGATGAAATACATCCATTTATTGACATGATTTGCAGGTCTTTGAAATTTGGGAAATAATTTTTGTTCCATGTTTCATACATGGTCTGTTTAAAACATATGGAACTTTAGAACCAAAAATGGTACAGAAAAAAGGTCAACAGTTTCATAAACTAGAGTACATATGTATCTGTTCAATACATTTTTATATCAGATGCATTAACTTGAATTTTTGGCCTTGCTGTTTACTTCTGCTTGACCGAGCCCTGATGTAAATGTCTGTGTTGATAGAATAATGTTTGAAATAAAACTAACCTTGTATTGCATGTATTGGTGCATGTTGAGGGACTATTTTCTCATATATCAGTTCGCCGCTGACAAGCTTTCTATCAGGACGCACAACTCACTGCTGCTGCTCACACATAAATCCTTCAAATACAAGGTTAGTTGTATTTCAGACATTATTCTATCCACACAGACATTCACATGGACAGTCTGGTGTAATAATAGTTTTGTTTTGGGTGTTTTGTGGACTGGGTAAGACTGTTTTTAGTGTCAGGATAACTATGACCATTGACATGCACTAGTCTAACACCAGCGACCTCTGCAAATAAAAGGACTGGATGGAATATTTCAAAAAGCGTCTCCACACGTCTCCAACACTCTGGCTCACTAGGAAATGAGGTCCTATGTCCAAAATTCCAGACTGTCCCTTTAATAGCTCCTTTTACCGTTGTTTAGAAGATGGGCAATTCCAGGCTTGAAATGATCCAAATGATTCTAGTGAAGGTGTGTGAAGTTTAAAAACACAGTGGAGCACTTCCTGTATGACCACATGACATCGCAAGGTGGAACAGACCCTCAGATATGTGCAGGGTTTTGTGTTAAACATGTGTGAATGAAACAAAACACAACTCCACGTCTGTTCTGTGACGAGAAAACTACTTTCTAACAAAATCAGAACATAGCGTAATTTGGGCCCTTTAGGTTTGTAACAGCAGAACCAAGAACCAACACAACAGAAAGTATTTTTAGCTGTGTACATTTGGAGAATCTAAAAAATCACACTCCTTTATCAAACTCAAATAGCATTGCCAAATCTTGTCCAAACATGCCAACGGGAAATAGCATTAAGTCGTTTTCAAATGGCTCTAATTATGTTGTGATTCCTCGCGTTCACATCATAATGAAATTTCCCCATCTGTATTTTTATGTCCTTAAATGGGGTTTTTTAATGTTGTAAAGAGATAGAAATAAAAGCTGTATTTGTTGCCACGGCAGCAGAGCATAAAGGCCTCCACAGCTGTTTAATGCTGTGATAACAACTGCACTCGGTGACATGTCATTAGTGTTTTTACAAGAACTCAAACATCCATCTTACTCCACTTCAAAGTCTGTGTTTCGTTTCAAGTTCAGACAATTCTGAGAAAGATTGTTCAAAAAAACAACTTATCGTGGTTACCATTTTATAATTCCCAGTGCATCTGCTCACCTGACTGTGATGCTTCGTGCGTTGGTGTGGAGTGTTCAGAGAAGAAGCCAAAAAACAAGCTCTGAAAGTGTAATATTATTTATTACAGAAAGCAGAGTAAAAAAGCCTAATTACAGACAAAGGTCCAGGCGAGCTCTGGTCAATATGAGACACGCCTCTAAATCATATATTCTCAGATTTGATAGTTTCTATAAATCATCCCCTTTCACAACCTGATTGCTTATTGTCCAAGGTTTTGAGCGTTTCCAGATATTACTTATGTGTTTATCTTACAGTTCCCCCTGAACTCGACTCCTCCATACATTAAGAACTGACGAGGCTCACAGGCCTAAAATGGATAATATCAGACACCACAGTGTACTTCAGTTTTATTATTATTTATGTATTTAAGATGTTGTGTTGTTCTAATGTAGTTTCCTCATCACAAACAGACCTGGAGTTATGTTTTGTTTCATTCACACATGTCTAACACACAAACCCTGCACATTTAGGCTTCTTTGAGTTCTTCTCTCAAACAGAAAACACAGGTCCACCTTGTGGAAGTGCTCCACTGTGGTTTTAAACCCCACACATCTTCACTAGAATCATTTGGATCATTTAGATCATTTCAGCCCTGGAATTGCCAATCTGAATTTACGGTACAGTGGAGGAAATAAGTATTTCCCTTGTTGATTTTGTAGGTTTGCCCACTGACAAAGAAATGAACAGTATCATCTGAATGGTAGGTTTATTTTAACATTGAGAGATAGAATATCAAAAGGCAAATCCAGAAAGTAACTTTAAAGAAAATATGTAAACTGATTTGCATTTCATTGAGTGAAATACATATTTGAACCCTCAAGCCAAAAAAGGCTTAGTACTTGGTGGCAAAACCCTTGTTTGCAGCACAGAGGCACAGTCGTTCCTTGTAGCTGATGACCAGGTTTGTGCACATATCAGAAGAAGGAGAATTTTGGTCCACTCTTTGATTGTTGGTCATTTTGTATGTCTTAAATTTTCAACCAATTGCACCTACAGTTGTGTCCTTAACACCAGCTTCTTGCTTATGGCATTGTAATCCATTCCAGCTTTGTGCAGGTCTACAATCTTTGGGTCTGGAGAGTCTGGACTCTGATGGATTGACAGATTCTGTGGACAGGGGTTTTTTATACTAACCTGATTCATCACCTCGCATTAGGATTTGTTCGCTTGACAGTAGGCGGATATGTTTTTATTTAACCATTCGCTAGGAAGAAGGGCAATAACGTCTTTCCCCTTGATAAAATTAGTTTACTGTTGTGCTGTTCCACAAAAGGGACTCAGACAGACGCGATGAGTTTGACGTCATGACTGATTCCTGACCTAGATCTAATGAAACACAAATCTATTAATTTATTTTCTATAATGTGATTTTCTGGATTTTCTTTTTCATATTCTATCTCTCAGTGTTAAAATAAACCTACCATTAATATTATAGACTGTTCATTTCTTTACCAATGAGCAAACCTACAAAATCAGCATCAATTATTACAAACACTTATTTCCTCCACTGTTATCTTATCTTATTTAACTGTTATCTTGAAAACTACCACTTCATGACATCACAGGGTGGAATAGAGCATTTTGAACTTTGGAGACAGACTAATAATAAACGATTACTCAAATAAGTGTAAATGAAACAGAACTCCAGGTATGTTTTTGAGGATTTTAACCTTGCTTAAAGCTCACAAGAGTCAATTTTGTGTAATTTAGGACCGTCAAAAGTATAAATATCAAGTCTACATAAATTGCCAGAAAGTGGAAATTGTGATCTGGCTTAAAGAAAACTGTGACATTAATGTTTTGGCATATCGACCTTCTCTAGTTGCCACATAAAAATCAGCTGAGTCCAGTGTTGGGAAGGTGACTTTTAAAATGTATTCTCCTACAGATTACAGATTACATATCACAAAATGTAGTTTGTAATGGAATCCATTAAATTACTTAAAGTGAGTAACGTAATCTGAATACTTTGGATTACTTGATTTGCTGTAGAGAAACAAAGATGAGGAAATCTTCACATAAGAAGTTTTGTTTGCTAAAAGAAAATAAAAAGCCCAGACTTTACTGAACCAAATTAAAAATATTATTGATAGAAGAGGAGGAGGATACACGGTCCATACAACATGGTTTAGTCCTGTTAAATCCTGTTTTAGTCCTATTTTAGTCCTTGTTTTAGACCTGGTTTTAGCCCTGGTTTTAGTCCTGGTTTAGACCTGGTTTAGTCCTATTTTAGTCTTATTTTAGTCCTGGTTTATTCCTGGTTTTAGTCCTGGTTTAGATCTGGTTTAGTCCTGGTTTAGACCTGGTTTAGTCCTGGTTTAGACCTGGTTTTAGTTCTGGTTTAGACCTGGTTTAGTCCTATTTTAGTCTTATTTTAGTCCTGGTTTATTCCTGGTTTTAGTCCTGGTTTAGATCTGGTTTAGTCCTGGTTTAGACCTGGTTTAGTCCTGGTTTAGATCTGGTTTATCCTGGTTTAGACCTGGTTTAGTCCTGGTTTAGAGTTAGACCTGTTTAGTCCTGTTTAGACCCTGTTTAGTCCTGGTTTAGTTTAGTCCTGGTTTAGTCCTGGTTTAGCTCTGGTTTAGTCCTGGTTTAGACCTGGTTTAGACCTGGTTTAGTCCTGGTTTAGACCTGGTCTAGTGTCCAGCAATGTGTGGAATTACTGAAAAAAAAAAAGAGGGCTTTAGCCCAAAATGTGAAAACAGGAAAATACCACCATGTAATCCATTTATTTCAACAAAGTAACTGTAATCCAATTACCACTCATTCAAACAGTAACTGTAACTGAATACAGTTACTCATAATTTATACTCTGATTACATAACTCCAGTACATGTAATCTGTTACTCCTGGTTACACTGGCTGAGTCCAAGTGCAAACATGTTAACATATACAACAGTCACTCACCCTCCTCTGGTCTGTTACAGGAGAGCTCTTCACCCTCTCCGTGTTGGACCGTGAAGCAGAGGTGGAGTACAACATGGCCGCCAAAGCCACAGACGGAGGGGGGCGCTCCTGTCAGGCCGACATCCTGCTCAGAGTCCAGGACATGAACGACAACGCGCCACAGTTCAGCTCCGCTCTGTACCAGGTCTCTGTGTTTGACAATACCACGGTGAGGACCCCCATCGCTGTGCTCTACGCCAAGGACGCCGACACTGGTGAGAGACTGGGGTTTAGAAGGGTGACAAGTTTTCATGTTCCTCTAATTTATTTATTTATGTATTTATGTATTTATGTATTTATTTATTTAATAGGGACAGTGCATATTAATAAACATCTACAGCACTGCAGTGTAAATATGACAGATTATAGCCGGAATGCTCATTTCCATCTGCAGGTCCTTGACAGGTTTTAACAGAAAAAAATGAAAAATTTAACAGAAAAACTAAAAAAACAAAAACAAGTGATGGTTCGAGACTAAAAATGTCCACAAGTCTGGTTTTCCTTTAGCCGCTGTTTCAAGTGGGATTTGAAAGTGTCCAGTGTTGGAGTTTCTCTTATTGATAATGGGAGACTGTTCCAAAATTTAGACTGAGACACACTTTGTCCGAATGTGGTGCATCCGTGTGGAGCTCACAGTTCCCCCGGGCTGTGGCCCTAGTTCCCATCCCACTGACAGTTTTTACTTTAATAAAATTCTGTAACGGAGGAGGAGCAAGTCCATACAGAATTTTATACACAAAACATCCATATTTAAAATCAACAAAAATATTAAAATTAAGCAGATTGTGCTTGTCTAAAATAGTGCAGTGGGGCCGGTCAAGCAGAAGTAAACAGCAAGACCAAAAATTCAAGTTAATGCATCTGATATAAAAATGTATTGAACAGATACATATGTACTCTAGTTTATGAAACTGTTGACCTTTTTTCTGTACCATTTTTGGTTCTAAAGTTCCATACATTTTAAACAGACCATGTATGAAACATGGAACAAAAATTATTTCCCAAATTTCAAAGACCTGCAAATCATGTCAATAAATGGATGTATTTCATCATATCTTGTGTTATTCCATCTTTGAACTGTTGATGAAGGTACATGATTTTTCAAAAAAAAAATTTATTTAAAATGATAAAAATTAGCTTGGAAGGACTGACATATTTTATAGAAATAGTTACCTTTCATTTTGAAGTAATATTAAAGTATTCAGAAAGAAAAGTAGAAAACTATATGAAGCAAATATTCAAACCAGTTTGTTAAGGATATGGAAGTGAGAACCAAGAGTTATCACTGTTTGGATTTATTGCCCAAAAAGTGCTGCATATTTCATTCCCTCCGTTACCGACATGAGTTTTAAAATTTTTTGTCAACAACTTGAAAGAATATCACAGGTTTAACTTGACCCTGTTGGAGTGTAACTCTTTCCTACATTCTGATACTTTACTTATTTCAATAGTCCCTCTAGTTTCTGAATAAGAGACATTTGAATGTAAAAAATCTGCCCCTGTTTCCCTCCGTTACCGCTTGACCTGGACCCAGTGGTGAAATGAAAATGGTTTCTTGTCCAATATTTTTATGGCTTTTTAAAAACTGATTCGATGTGTTGGAGTTTTGTGCCAGCGGCGAGTGACCACGTGGTTCTGCAATCCTCTATATGAGACAGAATCATGGAGTGTAAAAACATTCATGCTCCAAATAGTCATAAAAGATCTTACTTGTCTAAAATTCACAAAGTTAAAATGAACAGTTTTTGTAATTATTTCTCAGTTTGGTGGGATAGAGCCTGTGCTAAATATTTATCGTAGTTTTACATCAGTTAAAGGGCATTTTCTGATCTATGTTCTAATGATGTTTCCTCAGCACAAACAGATCAGGAGTTGACCTTCACTAGAATCATTTCAGCTCTAGAATCTCTTTTGAACCAACTTGAAAACTCCTTCTTCATGACATCACAAGGTGGAACAGAGCGTGAAAATATGACCTGAATGAAAATGACAAGTAAAAGTAAAGTAGCGACTTGACTTAGTGAAATAATTGTCCACTAATTTAGTCGTCAAATGATTTCTGGTCTTTACACAGACTCACAAACATGCCGTGCACTGAAAGGACGGTAATTGCATTGAAATTACACAGGAAAGAGGTAAAAACTGAAAGAAACTGTCTTGCCAAAGGGCACAACAACAGCCTGTATTGTCTGCATGTATACACAGTGCTTTTGATGACAGGTCTTAGTTGATAAGAGTTTTAATTAAACCTTAAATCGAATGTTCTTCTTCTTTCACAATAAACAAAGCACGTTACGCGACGTGATTCATTCTTTCTCTGTTAAATAAGAGCGACACAACACTCTCTGGCGCTCACTGTCTGACAGAAACTTGGAGCGCCGCAGTAGGTGAAGTGTCTTGCCCAAGGACACAACGGAACTAGATTTTATTGTTCATTTATATCTGATAATTGTAGGAAGAAAATGAACAACAAAATAAAATCTGATCCCAAACTTACTTTCTCCAAACTAACATGACAAACTCTAGTTTGATACTAAGGAATAAACAGTGTTGGGGAGTAACAGATTACATGAACCGGAGTTACGTAATCAGAGTACAAATTATAAGTAACTGTATTCAGTTACAGTTACTGTTTCAGTGAGTGGTAATTGGATTAGAGTTACTTTGTTGAAATAAATGGATTACACAGAGGTATTTTCCTGTTTTCGCATTTTGGGCTAAATCCCCCCATTTTTTTTGTTTTTTTTTTTGGTTTTTTTTGGTTTTTTTTCGGTAATTCCACTCATTGCAGGAAACTAAACCAGGTCTAAACTAGATCTAAAACCAGGTCTAAAACCAGGTCTAAAACCAGGTCTAAAACCAGGTATAAAACAGGTCTAAACCAGGTCTAAACCAGGTCTAAACCAGGTCTAAACCAGGTCTAAAACCAGGTCTAAAACCAGGTCTAAACCAGGTCTAAACCAGGTCTAAACCAGGTCTAAAACCAGGTCTAAACCAGGTCTAAACCAGGATTAAAACAGGACTAAAACAGGTCTAAACTAGATCTAATAATAATAAAATCAATTAACAAAAATAATAAAAATCTATACATAAAAGCAGTACTAAAATTAAAATAGATAAAAACAATAAAATAAAATAAAATATAAAAACAATAAAATAAAATAAAACAAAACACAGAAGACCACACAACTCATGCAGTATTAAAAGCCAGAGAATAAAAGTGAGTCTTAAGATGAGACTTAAAACGTCCAGTAACCTTTATTATTAGTTACCTATATTATTTCCAGAGCTCAAAATGCTCTGTTCCACCTTGTGATGTCATGAAGCAGTAGTAGTTTTTAAGTTAACAGCTCCTTTTACCTTTAATTCAGTAGAGATTGACAATTCAAAGTTGAAATCATCCAGATGATTCTAGTGAAGGTGTGTGGAGTTTAAAAACACAGTGGAGCATGTCCTGTATTACCACATGACATCACAAGTTGGAGCAGAATGTTTTCTGTTTGAGAGAAGAGCAGTAAACGTCTAAGTATGCATGGATTGTGTGTTAAACATGAGGAAAACATGAGGAAACTACATTATAACATAGATCAGAAAGAGAGTATCTCATTTCCATATTACTAGTAGTTTTAGTATTGATTAATATCTGATTTTCAACACTTTCCATGACCCTAACCAGTGTTGGGAAGGTGACTTTTAAAATGTATTCCCCTACAGATTACAGATTACATACCCCAAAATGTAGTTTGTAACGTAATCCATGAAGTTATTTAAAGTGAGTAACGTAATCTGAATACTTTGGATTACTTGATTTGCTGTAGAGAAGCAAAGACGAGGAAACTTAACCGTGTTAAAGATATTATAGATATTATTATAGAAGAGGAGGAGACACGTCCGCACAGCATGGTTTAGTCCTGTTAAATCCTGTTTTAGTCCTGGTTTAGATCTAGTTTAGACCTGGTTTTAGTCCTGGTTTAGTCCTGGTTTAGACCTGGTTTAGATCTATTTTAGACCTGGTTTTAGTCCTGGTTTAGATCTAGTTTAGTACTGGTTTTAGTCCTGGTTTAGTCCTGGTTTAGACCTGGTTTTAGTCCTGGTTTAGTCCTGGTTTAGACCTGGTTTAGATCTAGCTTAGACCTGGTTTTAGATCTGATTTAGTCCTGGTTTAGACCTGGTTTAGATCTATCTTAGACCTGGTTTTAGTCCTGGTTTAGATCTAGTTTAGACCTGGTTTTAGTCCTGGTTTAGTCCTTGTTTAGACCTGGTTTAGATCTAACTTAGACCTGGTTTTAGTCCTGATTTAGTCCTGGTTTAGACCTGGTTTAGTTTCCAGCAATGAGTGGAATTACCGAAAAAAATAAAAAATAAAATAAATAAATAAGAAATAATGTGAAAACAGGAAAATACCGTGTAATCCATTTATTTCAACAAATTAACTGTAATCCAAATACCACTCACTGAAACAGTAACTGTAACTGAATACAGTTACTCATAATTTGTACTCTGATTACGTAACTCCGGTACATGTAATCTGTTACTCCCCAACACTGACCCTAACCTTTGAACTGAAGTAAGTTGGTCACAGCAGGAATCAAACCACCAACCCTCTAGTTTGGGGGGTTAACACTTTAACCACTAAGCCACAGCCCTGCACAGAAACCATGTTTTCAGTCACTTCTCACAGCTCAGAACTTTTCCTTGTGTTGTTCATTTAAAATGCAAATGAGCCGCGGTCTCCCACAGTAAAAGTGTGTTCAGGTCGACTCAGGTCTGAACAGGTAAGAGTTTCATTACAGGGCAGTGCAGAGACATGTTCAGTGAAAGTGCACCAATAACACACTGAACCATAAACATTAAGACTTAGTTTAGAGGCGCTGAGAAGATCTGGACTCCCCCTAGTGGCAGCTCTGTTTTCTCTCTGCGACAGTGGAATCTGGAAATAGGTTTTTGCTCATGTAAAGTATTTATATAAACAATCTTTTACCAAACTGAGAATAAAAGGTATGCATAAGATATTTAGGAATGACAGTATATGAATAACTTCAATAGTTATTTCAACAAAAGTTTCAAATTGAATCTTATCACTCTAAGGGAAACATACGTTTACATTCCGACAGTAATAATAAATTATAATTCATTTGGTGAACAGAGATGTTTTGGAGAAAAATACTTTTTTATCAAATCAGTTGCATGTGGTGTTGAACCGAAAAATCCAACAAGACTAAATAAGAACTAAACCAGGACTAAAACTAAACCAGAACTAAAACTAAACCAGAACTAAAACTAATTCAGAACTAAAACTAAACCAGAACTAAATCAAAACCAGGACTAAAGATAAACCAGGATTAAAACTAAAATAGGACTAAAGATAAACCAGGACTAAAACTAAACCAGAACTAAAACTAAATCAGGACTAAAACTAACCCAAGACTAAAACTAAACCAGGACTAAACCTCAACCAGAACTAAAACTAAATCAGTACTAAAACTGAAATAACACATATTTGCTACCAAATATTGACAATATACCAAATGTTTTTTTTTTTAAGTCCCACTATTTAGTTAAATATGTTTAATTTAGATTAAATGTAGCTGTGCAACTTTTCTGGAGGAGACTCTCCATGGAGATATTATTATGTTTTTGCTTCAATATTACACATTATGGCATTAAATATATTGAGTCCCATAGAGACAAGCAGGTCTGGTACATCACCAGGCCAAGTTACAGGTCAGATCTGTGGACAGACAACATGTGTTTATATGTGTAAGTGTGTTTAACATATTTTTGCAAACAAACGAACTGTAATTGAGCAGATGCAAAATATAATAATATCATAAAATAAGTATAATGCCATCGAGTGGAACATTGACATTCCAGAGAAACGTCTCCATGGAGACAAGCAGATGGCACCTTTCACCAGACAAGTTTCATAATGCATCTTTAACCAAACGTCTGCGCTCAAAACAGAACCTGTGAGATCATCTTTAAATAGTTTTAAGAAATGTCTCGTCCAACTGTAACTGCAGGTGTTTGTTTTGGAGTTTGGTTTAAACGGGCCCTCAGGGGACACATCGTGGTTTAGATGATCATAAATCTATGAACAATTACTTTCACTGTTTTCACTGCGTCAAAAAATGTGGGTGTGTCAAAGAATTCACGCTTATAACACCAAAGATTCCTGTGTAGATGCATTGCTCAGATAATAACAACAATAATATCACTTAAAAATGATAGATTTGAAGATACTGAAGCACAGGGAGAACATGCACACTCCACTCACAGATCAGGAGTCTAACCCACAACCAGGACCCACCCACTCTAGATTTTAAACTGCCAGAATATTCCAACTCTAACTTCTGTCTGTTCCTTCAGGTATAAACTCGGAGGTGCGCTACTCCCTTGTCTCCGGGGACGAAGGCTTCTTCTCTTTGGATGAGTTTTCTGGAATCCTGCGACTGGAGCGGCCTCTGACCTCTGAAGCCCCGCCCAATTTTCAGATCAAAGTCAAAGCCACAGACAGGTACTTCAACATGAAACTATTGTGATCGTAGTACACAATATACAGGCTATCAATAGAGTTTAAAAAAGCTATAAATACAAGCAAGAATATTCAACCAGAGCTGTGTCCAAATGTCACTTCCTCTCATCAATTTGGTTCTTTATCGATTCTCTCATCACTTCTTAATTCATATAAATGTGAAGTGTGTATTTAGTTTTCTATATTTATACATTACTAATAAGTGACTAGCATTTTAAATTATAAAGGTCCTGTATTATGCAAAATTGAGTGAAATTGTGAGTTTTAAGTCATGATTCTGTTACCTCCTCAAAACAGACCTGGAGAGTGTTTTGTTTCATTCACACATGTCTGAGTAAACTTTTATTATTATTAGTTGTTTACCTTGTGATGTCATGAAGCAGTAGTTTTCAAGTTAACAACTACATTTTACTTTTTGTTTAGCAGAGACAATTCCAGGGCTGAAATTACCATATTTTCCACACTATAGGGCGCACTGGATTATAAGGCGCACTGTCAAAGACTAGTCTATTTTCAAACTTTTTTCACATATAAACTGCATTGGACTATAAGGCGCATTAAACGAAACACAACAGTTAGATAAGTCAGTCAAACTTTATTTAACGAGTTCACAATAACTCTCAACTTTGTTCAATTGTAACGCGTAAGAAAAATACTGTCTGAGACGCTAAATTGTTAGAATATTCACAATAACTCATAATTGTTCAAACAGTTGGGCGATTACAGCGTCCAGCACGTCCACATCCCTCTCTTCATTATCCGAGTCAGTGTGGTTACTGTTCCCTGGCAGTTCAGTGATGATTCTGGTCTTGGTGAAAGCTCGGACCACAGTTGATACTGATCCTTAGCCCAGGCGTCCACGATCCGTTGGCAGATCGTGGCGTAAGTGGCTCGGCGCTGTCTCTCTGTCTTGGTGAAATGTGTGTTCTCCTTCTCTCATCCACTGCTCCCACACAGCTCGCACTTTCACTTTCTAAACGCCTTGAGTTTAAAGTGGGCGTTGTGAGCGTGTCTCTTGACAGGTGCATTTTGATATTAAAAGGAATCACAGTATGTTTTACTCCACGATGCTCCTGACTACGGGAGCCATAATGCTGCAAGTGGTGCGGCTTTGTAGTTTACTAAAGTCGTACTAAGACACAACAATAAATTCATATATAAGGCGCTCTGGATTATAAGGCGTGCAGTCGTTTTTGGATGAAAATAAAGGCTTTTAAGTGCGCCCTGTAGTGTGGAAAATACGGTATCCGAATGATTCCAGTGAAGGTGCATAGAGTTTAAAAACACAGTGGAGCACTTCCTGTATTACCACATGACATCACAAGGTGGAATAGAGTGTTTTCTGTTTGCGAGAAGAACTCAGACTCAAGTCTAAATGTGCAGGGTTTGTGTGTTAAACATGTGTGAGTGAAACAAAACACAACTCCAGGTGTCAGATGAAGAAAAGAGGTCGAGCGCTTCACCAGGTCATAAAAAAGTTAAAAATAGCAGCATACAGGTGCTTTACGAGGGTTAATCTTAGCCAAAAGTTACCCTTACTGAAAAATTTAAAAGTGGGCAAGGTACAAACCCGCAACACTCCGACTGAATATATTAAAAGTCCTTTATTCTACGAAGGGACACCAACGCGTTTCGACCAACAAGATGGTCTTCGTCAGGGCATAATGTTTCGTGATGTTATGTTAAGACAGCTGCAGGTGTGTTTGTGATGAGGAAACATTATAACATAGCTCAGAAAATAGCATCATATGGGCCCATTCATCTGCATTTGAAGCTCAATTTCAGAGGGACAGATGTAAACAAACTTTTCAAAATACCTGCTTGTTACACTGACAGACACGCGCAGGGCTCAAACGGGCTTAATGCAGAGACAGCTGCAGCTTTTCTGTCCTCTGCTTTCCGCTTCCTGGACTTCACTTTTGTCCAACTCCAGAGAATCTTTGTTGTACATCTCCCACTGAGTCCACACAAATATTGGTGCGGATCAGAAAGCACATATTTTCTGACAAAAACATTGTATTTATTCGTGCTAAGAATGTCTAGCAGGTGAAAAAGTAGTGCATTTAAATTTCCCTCAGTGCATCTTGAAAAGTAGTGTCACTAGACTGATCAGACCACAATGCACTGCAAGAGTCAGAAAAACAAAAGTGGACAGAGACATATCTTTAACTGGACACATTCAAGAAGGAATTATTTACTTTTACCTTTCTACATGTTATAATTAGGGATGTCCCGATCACATTTTTTTGCCCCTGAGTGCAAGTTCTTTTGATTTGATTTTGATTTTTGATGTGCTGATCCCGAGTCCCAATCCGATACTTCTATAAAACATTATAAAATGAACTAAGAGCAAAGAATAAGATCCAGGATGTTTGATTTCAATGTGTAGTATTTGGGCTGAACTTAGTCTGAAAAATCAAATGTCCTAAACTTTAATTTTTTTAATTAACTTTTCTAACCTTTCATCATCATTGTTGAAAATCTTCACTTTTCACAGTCTGGTCTTGGAATGTGTAACTTAGTAAACTTAATGAACTGGACAAAACAGGAACCAGACCAGAATCAGACCAGACCTGAGACTCGACTCTGCACAATCTACACTTTGTATATTTGATATTATATGGAAGCCTGTGCATTATATTTGAAACATTTAGGCTTGTCTATGATACCCAAATAATACAAAATGTTACTAAATAAAAACAAGACGACAGAAGCCCCACAGCCTCTTTCCCCCAACCGCCCCCACTCCCCCGCACCTCCACCACATCCATGAACCCAGAGAAAAGTGCGCACCGCAACGGAAGGACCCTCATCGCCAATAGCGCTAGCTCCGCTGCGCAACAGCGCTGTTTGTTTTGTTTGAAACAAACAGCGTCGTGCGATGACGCCATCGGCCACACAGATGTACACAGAGGTAACAGCACCCGAGCACGGCACGGCTCAAAAGTTCCTGCGTAAGTGCGCCTCCAGTACAGTAGGCGCTGGGGCAGAGAGTTGCGCTGACTGGACGTCCCTGAGCAAATCCTGCGCCTCAGAAAAACTGTTGTGTGCTGTGTGTCCTGTGTGTTATATACATATATATTATATATTATTTATCCGATACCTGATCGGCACATAACGTCCGGATCGAGTCCGCAGTCACGTGATCGGCACTGATTTCTAATCATGTGATCAGATCGGGACAACCCTAGTTATAAAGTTTATTTCTCTTTTCATTAATCTGGAGACCCAGAGCTTCAGCTTCAGTTAATACCCCATAGATGAATGAATAAATATCCCTATAACGCACAATATTTTCCATGTTCAGGGGCCTTCCTCGCCAGCTGTCGTCCGTCACCACGGTGGAGGTGGAGGTGGTTTCTCTGGACGAATATCAGCCCGTGTTCTCCAGCTCCGAGTACACTGCCCAGCTCCCAGAATCCTTTGCTGTGGGGTCAGAGGTCATGAGCCTGTCGTCTATGAGCAGAGAGAGCGCCGAACCCATCGTTTACCGCCTCGTGTCCGGCAACGACGACGGACGATTCCACCTGGACAGAGACACAGGTCAGATTTTTTTCTTTATCCTGTAGTTTTGCATAATTTTATTTAGTTTAAACTTTTGTCCGTTCGGTTTAGGAATGAGCAGATTGCAGGGATATTTGTAGGAATGTTGCAATAACAGAAATATCATGGTATCATATCATCAAAGGTCTTACAATAATATCATGGACCATCACAGTTTACAGTAGTAGACAAGTAGACAAGTAGTAGTAGTACTAAGTAGACAAGTACAAGTCTCTTCAGTTAAATGAATAGTTATGGTGCAGAAATAGGTAAAAAAAAAAAAAAAAAACACAGGGAACTACATAATGATTCATGATCCTTTGTTCCATTTCACTGCAGACTACAGGAACTTTTAAATCTTAGTTCTTAGGATTAATGGTGCGTTTTCAATTATCCATTCAACTCGGAGGTTCAAGGACATTGCTTAGAGAAACTGATACATTCCTTTTCCTCGGATGGCAGAACTCGGAACTCCATCCAAGATAGATGCACCCAGTGTCACTTTTAAGTATGAAGTGTTTTCATTGTGCTTGGACGCTTTGGTGGTTTCAGTCACTCGCATTACTTTGGTGGTCGTGTTGTGATGAGGCCAAAATTGAACACAGACTTGTTTTAAATTAATTGATAAACGTCCCTAGAGTCGCTAACAGAAGATAAACAACATTAGGGTGACCAAACCAATGTCTGTTTTTTGCATCCTGTCCTGAGCCCGGACAGTTTTTTTTCATAAAGTGATGGAAATGTCCGGGTTTTCATGATCTTTCATTGGGCCATTAAACTGAGTGTCTCTCATAGCGTCTGTAACTCAGAAGGAGCAAGCAGACACAAACAGTCAGTCAGCTTCCAACTTGCCGAAGCGCAAATGCGCATTTAACGATGACTTGGACAAGAAATTCTCCGTTTTCCGTCCCGGTCGAGACAAGTGGGAGGCCATGTGCACAGGTTGTGAGGTGATTGTAGCTCAGTGTCGAGGCCCCCTACCCCCTATCCCTGGTAAGGTGTCCGGGTTTTCACAAATGGAAATACGGTCACCCTAAACAACATTAACAGCCTTCCAGTTGGCGTCTACGTTTTCACCAAGTTTCGGACACACGAAACATTACAAACTACGTGAAGTGATGATGAAACGCACCATAAGTCTCGTCAAGGCATTTAAAGAGGGAAAAGTAGAGTATTCACAGTTTTGTTAGCCTCCACAAAATGTCGCAATAAATATCATACCGTGAGATGTATATCGTGAAAATATCGTACCGAGAGGTTTGAATATTGTTACATTTCTAGTTATTTGGCTTGTTGCTTTACTTTTAAATTTAGCAATTTTAGTGAAATGAGTAAATTAGTGTCTTAAATTCCTACATTGTGTTTATTTTGTAGTCTAGGATCAGGCACGTTGACAGAAATTTGGGGGCCTGGGGTAAGAAGCCTCACATGGGCCCCACTTTAATGTAAATTACTAGGAACTGCCATAGCCTTTTTTATAACACTGAAGTTTCAACAACGACCAAACTAAGTATACGTAATCACAAAGAAATACCATATAAATCACTGTTATTTTTACAACAGTGAAAAGTTATTTTTGCTATAACTAAATATTCGTAGTACCGGCAAATGACGAATATTGTGTCTGCTCCAAAAATCCATATCGGATCATTCCTAGATTAAAATGGGACCAAACCAGGACAACTTGGGTTAAATCAGATGTAAGGATTCAAGATCAAAGAATAGATTTCCTTTGGGCACACGCAATCTTCGGGTGTAATATTTTCTACTGGCCAAAATCCAGGTAAAGCTTAGTTTAAACATATGCTAAAATAACCTAAGATAATTACCCAGTCAATAATGTTGTAATGGAACAATATAGAAGAAAGCAAAGATCAGAGACTCTATTTAAACATTTTAAACCTGCAATTTTCTCCAAAAAGGAAGACTACAGCTCCACACACCCTCTATACAATATTATTATTATGTTTATTATAGCATTCTGAATACTGAAACCTCCACATATGTCTGGACAAGTTGAAGAAACCAGCTGTGGTGCATTTAATGACTCAGATAAAGGGGAAATTAGAGTTTTAAGTAACACAGGACTTAGTGTTTTCTATTAGATCTGATTAAACAAAAACTATGACGAATTCAAACCAGTTTATCTATTCATCTACTTATAATGAATATCCAAATGTACAGTTTCGTGTTTCATTCAGCAGAAATGATTTTGGTTCCACACCTTTAACCTGGTTTGCGCTTATGAATTCTCATCTTTATCTGTATAATATCATTTTTAAACGGTCTGTATCCAGTTTCATGTAACACAGTAAAGTGTATCGTTAAGGGTGGGCGATATCGTGATATTTTAAATATATGGAGATATTTTTAAACTCAATATGGACTCTGACATATCGTATATATATCGATATAATGTTTATATTTAATTCTGATTTCACCGCTTCGCTTGTTTGCCTTCTCTGTGCGCGTCCCCACCTCCCTGATTTGGCTGCTTGTGTCTCATTCACTCCTCACTACTGAATGCCAAAAGTTGATGCCAGTGAAAAGTTTCTAGCACCACAAAACTTTTCCACCATTTACAGACAAGACCATCGGCAGCACATCCTCTGTCACAGAGAGAACACTCATATTCCACTGAGTCGTGTCCTTTAGTCCGAAAGAAGCTGAAGCGCATGAGCAGCACAAGGAGTACGCTGTTTATGCAAATGAGCCATGTGGTTTTAAGTTTTGTTTCTATTAAACGTAAACACCACTTGTGCAAAACTGCATTGAACACATTATAATCTCAAATCATCGGGCTGATGTGGCTCTAGAGTCGTTAGGCTTTAAATGTTGTAAAGTTTAGTCATGTAAAGTTTATTTATGCAGAAGATTTTAATCAATCTGCTGCAGTGTCACTTGTACAATAGTGTTTGGAAACATTCAGTTTCCAAACAGCCTCAGAGCTCCTTACGCTGGATAAGAACACGGGTCTGTTAAAATAAGGAACCTCCCGAGCTTCTTCTGCTAAACGAGCTCATGGTTATCATACAGTTACAGAGAAAAATGAGCCTGAGTTGAGTTGTTTTATTTATGAATGAAAAGAAGGCAATATGTATTATTTCTTTTATTTTACAGTTAAATTATTATTTATGTAATCAAGGATTTTTTTGTAATCTTAAATGTGACAGAAGCTCTTAGTTCCTACATGAACTGCCGACCTGTTGCTCTTCAATAATAAAAGACCTTGTGGAATTTGACATATTTGTTTTTGCAGGAGTTTTGGGGAGTTATTTTTCCTGTACAGATATTGAGATATATATATTGTATATCGAGATATAGCAAAATATATCCAGATATATATTTTTTGATCCATATCGCCCAGCCCTATGTATCATGTCCCAGTAAAGATATTGAAAAAAAACAGCTGTTAAGGTCAAAATGAGACTGTCTGCATCTCATTCTTAAGCATTTTTGTCCTCCGTGAACCAAGATGTAATACTGGGACACTGTTAGCATGCTAGTTGTGGCCGCTCTGGCCTTTGAACGTTGTGAAAAAAATGTTGAAATTACCATATTTTTTGGACTATAAGTCGCTCTGGAGTATAAGTCACACCAGCCAAAAAATGCATAATGAAGAAGAAAAAAACATACATAAGTCGGACTATATGGTGCACTTTTTGAGGGAAATTTATTTAATAAAATCAGTGACCTGAGGCAAGTACTAGTAATAATAGAAGAGAGAACAACAGACTGTTAACGTCACATATGAACAGTTCTTCAGATAAACTATAACATAAACAACAGAACAGAACAAGTTTAACAAACTCTCCATCTCACTCCAAATCACTAAATCCATTCAATTCTTCATCCTCGGTGTCACTTCTGAGCAACTCGGCCTCGACCTCCGGAGGTAAACAGAGCGTCGCTTCCTCTTCTGTGTCGCTGTTGTCAGACTCTGTATCAGTTCCAGTTAGAATTATTCGGTGTCACTGAAGTCCAGGCTTTGTCCATTCATCCAGTGACTTCCAGGAAAGTTTCATGGTGCATCCTCCCGGTGTCACAAGTTTCTCTCTCACTCCAAACTTTCTTTCTGCTGCTCTATTACGGCTGCATTTTCGGCTGCATATTTCACTATTTGCAGCTTGTAATTTGCAAAATTATAGTCCGAAAAATACAGTAGAAATGATCAACTCTAATAATGATGATGCTCTGAATGCCTAAGGTAAGTGAGGAATAACTTTGGACCACTGCAAACCATTCTAGGTCTGTTTTTCACATTGTACACATAACATATTTAGACCACAATGTTACTTTTTTATAAATAAAACACTTTTGATTTATACATTTCAGCTTCGTTTTGACAGTCTTTTTATGTATATTTATGGAGAATTGTCATGTGGGAGCATGGGTGACGTAGGCTTGTGGGTGGAGCCTTGGATAAAATCTTACATCTAACCATAAGGAGGTTTTGAATAGAGCCCCGGGAGAGATCACTAAATTACTAAAACATGCATGGGTGAGATCTAAATCACTTGAGGCATGTTTTTGATAGGGGAACAGTGTTATAACATGGTAGAACAACAAAAAAAGTTGATTATGCGTAATTCTCCCTCTGTAAGAGCGTAAAAATCAAGTACAGCACCTTTTCATTTGTCACGTGGGCAATAACAGGAAAAATGTGAATGGTTTTTGCCAGACTTGTGTTGAATGACTCCAGACCACGACACAAAGCAGAACCGTGTAACCGCAGAATTATAATGAAGTGATTTTGCCTGAGAGAAGGCCACAGGCTGTCTCTGCATATGTTTTAAATAATTACTAGTTAATATTAATGGATTTAATGCATGATTTATACAGGAACCTTTGCCCCTGGTCTTCAATTGTGATTCCATTTAAACCATTCCAAGCTCATGGCTACAACAGACTCCCTCATGTAATTAATCATTTAAAGGCAGACTTTGTAACTTTTCTGGTAGGAGTTGTGCTGTCTGCCTGTAGTGCTCCACAGTATGGCA